ACACAAAACGGAAGAGGGTAGGAACAACTTTGCGGGTCGAAATTTGCCGGGATCCCCTTGGCGCCCTGCAAAAAGTCCTGTAACTACCACACAAAACGGAAGAGGGTAAGAACAACTTTGCATGTCGAAATTTGCCGGGTTCCCTTGGCGCCCTGCCAAAGTCCTGCAAATACCACACAAAAAGGAAGAGGGTAGGGACAACATTTACAGGTCGAAATTTGCCGGGGTTCCCTTGGCGCCCTGCCAAAGTCCTGCGAATACCACACAAAACGGAAGAGGGTAGGAACAACTTTGCGGGTCGAAATTTGCCGGGAGCCCCTTGGCGCCCTGCCAAAGTCCTGCAAATACTACACAATACGGAAGAGGGTAGGAACAACCTTTACAGGTCGAAATTTGCCGGGATCCCCTTGGCGCCCTGCCAAAGTCCTGCAAATACCACACAAGAAGGAAGAGGGCAGGAACAACCTTTACAGGTCGAAATTTGCCGGGATCCCCTTGGCGCCCTGCGAAAGTCCTGCAAATACCACACAAAACGGAAGAGGGTAGGAACAACTTTGCGGGTCGAAATTTGCCGGGATCCCCTTGGCGCTACCACGCAAAACGGAAGAGGGTAGGAACAACCTTTACAGGTCGAAATTTGCCGGGATCCCTTTGGCGCCCTGCCAAAGTCCTGCAAATACCACACAAAACTGAAGAGGGTAGGAACAATTTTGCGGGTTGAAATTTGCCAGGATCCCCTTGGCTTCCTGTCAAAGTCCTGCAAATACCACACAAAACGGAAGAGGGTAGGAACAACTTTGCGGGTTGAGATTTGCCGGGATCCCCTTGGCGCCCTGCGAAAGTCCTGCAAATGCCACACAAAACGGAAGAGGGTAGGAACAACTTTGCATGTCGAAATTTGCCGGGATCCCCTTGGCGCCCTGCCAAAGTCCTGCAAATACCACACAAAACGGAAGAGGGTAGGAACAACTTTGCCGGGTTGAGATTTGCCGGGAGCCCCTTGGCGCCCTGCCAAAGTCCTGCAAATACCACACAAACGGAAGAGGGTAGGAACAACCTTTACAGGTCGAAATTTGCCGGGATCCCTTTGGCGCCCTGCCAAAGTCCTGCAAATACCACACAAAACGGAAGATGGTAGGAACAACTTTGCGGGTTTAAATTTTGCGGGATCCCCTTGGCGCCCTGCGAAAGTCCTGCAAATACCACACAAAACGGAAGAGGGTAGGAACAACTTTGCAGGTTGAGATTTGCCGGGAGCCCCTTGGCGCCCTGCCAAAGACTTGCAAATACCACACAAAACGGAAGAGGGTAGGAACAACTTTGCATGTCGACATTTGCCGGGATCCCCTTGGCGCCCTGCCAAAGTCCTGCAAATAACACACAAAACGGAAGAGGGTAGGAACAACTTTGCAGGTCGAAATTTGCCGGGATCCCCTTGGCGCCCTGCCAAAGTCCTGCAAATACCACAAAACGGAAGAGGGTAGGAACAACTTTGCGGGTTGAGATTTGCCGGGATCCCCTTGGCGCACTGCGAAAGTCCTGCAAATGCCACACAAAACGACAGAGGGTAGGAACAACTTTGCATGTCGAAATTTGCCGGGATCCCCTTGGCGCCATGCCAAAGTCTTGCAAATGCCACACAAAACGGAAGAGGGTAGGAACAACTTTGCGGGTCGAAATTTGCCGGGATCCCCTTGGTGCCCTGCGAAAGTCCGGCAAATACCACACAAAACGGAAGAGGGTAGGAACAACTTGGCATGTCGAAATTTGCCGGGATCCCCTTGGCGCCCTGCCAAAGACTTGCAAATACCACACAAAACGGAAGAGGGTAGGAACAACGTTGCAGGTCGAAATTTGCCGGGATCCCCTTGGCGCCCTGCCAAAGTCCTGCAAATACCACACAAAACGGAAGAGGGTAGGAACAACTTTGCGGGTTGAGATTTGCCGGGATCCCCTTGGCGCCCTGCGAAAGTCCTGCAAATACCACACAAAACGACAGAGGGTAGGAACAACTTTGCATGTCGAAATTTGCCGGGATCCCCTTGGCGCCATGCCAAAGTCTTGCAAATGCCACACAAAACGGAAGAGGGTAGGAACAACTTTGCGGGTCGAAATTAGCCGGGATCCTCTTGGCACCCTGCGAAAGTCCTGCAAATACCACACAAAACAGAAGAGGGTAGGAACAACTTTGCATGTCGAAATTTGCCAGGATCCCCTTGGCGCCCTGCCAAAGTCCTGCAAATGCCACACAAAACGGAAGAGGGTAGGGACAACATTTACAGGTCGAAATTTGCCGGGGTCCCCTTGGCGCCCTTCCAAAGTCCTGCAAATACCACACAAAACGACAGAGGGTAGGAACAACTTTGCGGGTCGAAATTTGCCGGGATCCCCTTGGCGCCCTGCGAAAGTCCTGCAAATACCACACAAAACAGAAGAGGGTAGGAACAACTTTGCATGTCGAAATTTGCCAGGATCCCCTTGGCGCCCTGCCAAAGTCCTGCAAATGCCACACAAAACGGAAGAGGGTAGGGACAACATTTACAGGTCGAAATTTGCCGGGGTCCCCTTGGCGCCCTTCCAAAGTCCTGCAAATGCCACACAAAACGGAAGAGGGTAGGAACAACTTTGCGGGTCGAAATTTGCCGGGATCCCCTTGGCGCCCTGCAAAAAGTCCTGTAACTACCACACAAAACGGAAGAGGGTAAGAACAACTTTGCATGTCGAAATTTGCCGGGGTTCCCTTGGCGCCCTGCCAAAGTCTTGCAAATGCCACACAAAACAGAAGAGGGTAGGGGCAACATTTACAGGTCGAAATTTGCCGGGGTCCCCTTGGCGCCCTTCCAAAGTCCTGCAAATACCACACAAAACGGAAGAGGGTAGGAACAACTTTGCGGGTCGGAATTTGCCGGGATCCCCTTGGCGCCCTGCAAAAAGTCCTGTAACTACCACACAAAACGGAAGAGGGTAAGAACAACTTTGCATGTCGAAATTTGCCGGGTTCCCTTGGCGCCCTGCCAAAGTCCTGCAAATACCACACAAAAAGGAAGAGGGTAGGGACAACATTCACAGGTCGAAATTTGCCGGGGTCCCCTTGGCGCCCTTCCAAAGTCCTGCAAATACCACACAAAACGGAAGAGGGTAGGAACAACTTTGCGGGTCGAAATTTGCCGGGATCCCCTTGGCGCCCTGCACAGGGAGGACTGCTCAGCTAGGGGTTAGATAGTTTAGATAGTTTAGATAGTTCAGGGGCTTCCTGAACTATCCAAACTATCTAAACTATCTAACCTCTGGCTGGGGACGACCCAGAGGGAATTGAAACTTTCTAAACTATCTAAACTATCTAAACTATCTAAACTATCTAAACTATCTAAACTATCTAACCTCTGTTTCTCCCAAAATCGAGGTTAGATAGTTTAGATAGTTTAGGGGCTCGTCTAAACTATCTAAACTATCTAAACTATCTAAACTATCTAAACTATCTAACCTCTGTTCCTCCCAAAATCGAGGTTAGATAGTTTAGATAGTTTAGATAGTTTAGAAAGTTTCAAACCTCCTGGGGGCCTCCCCGGAAAGAGGTTAGATAGTTTAGATAGTTTAGATAGTTCAGGGGCTTCCCGAACTATCTAAACTATCTAAACTATCTAAACTATCTAACCTCTGGCTGGGGCCGACCCAGAGGGAATTAAAACTTTCTAAACTTTCTAAACTATCTAAACTATCTAAACTATCTAACCTCCTTTTTTCCCAAAATCGAGGTTAGATAGTTTAGATAGTTTAGGGGCTCGTCTAAACTATCTAAACTATCTAAACTATCTAAACTATCTAACCTCCTTTTCTCCCAAAATCGTTAGATAGTTTAGATAGTTTAGATAGTTTAGAAAGTTTCAAACCTCCTGGGGGCCTCCCCGGAAAGAGGTTAGATAGTTTAGATAGTTTAGATAGTTCAGGGGCTTCCTGAACTATCTAAACTATCTAAACTATCTAACCTCTTTCCGGGGAGGCCCCCAGGAGGTTTGAAACTTTCTAAACTATCTAAACTATCTAAACTATCTAACCTCTGTTTTCCCAAAATCGAGGTTAGATAGTTTAGATAGTTTAGGGGCTCGTCTAAACTATCTAAACTATCTAAACTATCTAAACTATCTAACCTCCTTTTTTCCCAAAATCGAGGTTAGATAGTTTAGATAGTTTAGATAGTTTAGAAAGTTTCAAACCTCCTGGGGGCCTCCCCGGAAAGTTAGATAGTTTAGATAGTTTAGATAGTTCAGGGGCTTCCTGAACTATCTAAACTATCTAAACTATCTAACCTCTTTCCGGGGAGGCCCCCAGGAGGTTTGAAACTTTCTAAACTATCTAAACTATCTAAACTATCTAACCTCATTTTTTCCCAAAATCGAGGTTAGATAGTTTAGATAGTTTAGGGGCTCGTCTAAACTATCTAAACTATCTAAACTATCTAAACTATCTAAACTATCTAACCTCCTTTTTTCCCAAAATCGAGGTTAGATAGTTTAGATAGTTTAGATAGTTTAGATAGTTTAGAAAGTTTCAAACCTCCTGGGGGCCTCCCCGGAAAGAGGTTAGATAGTTTAGATAGTTTAGATAGTTCAGGGGCTTCCCGAACTATCCAAACTATCTAAACTATCTAACCTTTGTTTTTCCCAAAATCGAGGTTAGATAGTTTAGATAGTTTAGGGGCTCGTCTAAACTATCTCAACTATCTAAACTATTTAAACTATCTAAACTATTTAACCTCTTTCCTCAAGAAAGGAAAGTAATCACATAGTACCTAAAGGTCCCTCTTACATATATATATATATAGCAACTCAGTCACTTCTGTGGATCTGCTTGTGACGTATGTGACGTATATGTGACGTATATGTGACGTGTGAGGCGCAGTACGGCCTTTCGGAAGCGACGGGCGTTTTGGAACTCTCAGAAAATCCAACTTTGAGCCCGTGGGAGATGATGGCGTGGAGCGCTGGGTGGGCCTCGAGGGTATGGGGGGGATCGTGCGGATGCTTGCGGAGGGCCTGGACATCCAACAGGACCATGTTGGCCCCAATGTTGCCCCAATGTTGCCCGGCTGTTGCCATGTTCTGCTGCGTGCTTCTCAGCTTTGTATCCTCTGTCGCGAACATGTGCTCTTCAGGATGTTTGGGTGCCGCCCTCGAATGGTCTCCAGTGCTCACGCACCGATGGAAGCTGGGGCATCACAGCGCCCACATCTGCAATGTCTATCGCACTGCTTTTGTAGCTTCTGCAGGGCTGCCCAGCATTCACAGACATTTCTTCAGGGACATGTTCACCTTTTGCGAGCAGTTAGGCTCACCATGGTTCACGTCTGCCCAGCGTCTGCCTGAAGAGGTGCCCGGGGAGCGTGGCCGCGATGTGAAATGGTTCGATGCTGCGATCATCGCCCACAATGGCAAGTGTGCCGAGCGACTCACCTCCTCGACCCCGGCCCAAGAGGCCATGAGCACGAAATTGGACGCTCCTGCAGTGCCTCTACATGTTTGTAGGTGGATGCTAAATACAGGTTGCCATGCAACAGCCTAAAGATCCCGTCTTGACACGTTCTTCTCTCAGATGTTTGGACGGCTACAGGTCCACGCGCTCCTACGTACTAACTTTGCCTGCTCCCTGCCGCGCACACTGAGCCGCAGCAGTGTTGGGAAGTAGCCTTCTGAATTGTCCTCTTTCCAAAAGTTAAACATGAACTACGGAGACAGCAGAGACTGCAGCAACTGTAGACCCCTTGCCACCACTCCATTGATACCTCCTTTGGCACTGTCCTTTTCTGGGTTTACACTGATTTGGTACACTCTTTTTAGGGTCTCATCGTGTGACTTCTCGGGAGTCCTCCTGAGGCCACCCTCGGCCCGGTAGCGGCCGGTTCACGCTCAACCAGATCTATTCCCTGCTCTTCGAGGCGCTGGTAAATATTTCAGCATAATCGAGGGATGCTGTGTTTCATATTAATATACGCACTTATATACATATATATATATATATATTTCTATGATATGAGTTTTTCCAAAAAATGTACAGCCATGAAGGGGCTGCCAGGCTTGGTGAATCGGTGGATGTATGGATCTATGCGGTCAACCAAAGTGGGCCGAAGCTTTGAGCTTTGTTTTACTCAGCAGCAGAAGGTTCGAAAAACAGAAGAGCTGACAAAACCGCAGTAACCAGATGTCGCACATGTTTTTTTTTGGCAGAAGTTTTGCCAAACAAAACATGTCGTTTTAGTTTTTGTTCTCAAATCTTTTTTCCTCTCAGGTGCCCAGCGGGCTCATGCCCAGCCACTTCGAAGCGGCCGGGGGAGTGCTATCGTGTGCTCCTCCTACTAAGTGCAGTCCCCTTCTTTGAGAGAGAGAGAGAGAGAGCGCCTTCTCTCCTCATCCTCTTCTCATCTCTCTTTTGTTGATATAGCTCTCTGTGCTTTTTTATGCGCCTTCAATATTTCTTCTTACACGAAGAGAATTTTCACGATTTTTGTGCTGAGAGCTCTGCAGGCTTTCGTGGAGGACGAGCCCATCCTGCGACCTGGCACAAGAGAACTCGCGAGGGCAATATAGGGCAGCCAGCAAGTCCCGGTGAGGAGTTAGACGGGGCGCGGGTGGTTGCTCATTTGTTCCAGCAACACGACTTGCTTGTGACATCAGTACACTTTGCTGCAGTTTCCGGGTGAACAGCACATGCAGACTCGGACTTACAGGGTTGAAATGGTTCAGAGAGGCGATGGCTGTCGTCGAACACGGCGAAGCTGCGCCAGGGAGGTAGCGGTGAGGCGGTGGAGTTCCTCGTTGACCAACAAGTGGACGCTTTTGACACCATGACTTTGACAGAGCACAGTGAGCACGTCATGCACATCCTCTGCAGGTCTGGACAGCCCTGAGCTCGGCACCTTTCGGGAAGCAGCACAAAGCGCCCCAGGATACTCGGATTCGACGGTTTTCGTTGTCGTCTTTCTTCGCCTGCAGTTGCTTGCAATCACAAATAAATCCAGACAAAGCAATCATGGGGTCTCACAGATGCCCATCTGCCCAACGGTGCCCTTTTGGAATTACCGCCCCCAATACACAGCTTTGAAGAATCCTCCTGAACAGGCCCCGAATCAGATTCACTCATTAATTAGCGAGATGAAAAGGGGTCGACCACTGGTCCACTGGTCCCTGGCCGTCGGGCCTGCCAGGCTGGGGGATAAGCGGGGTGTAGGGTTCTTGTATCGCAAACGCCTTCAGGTTTGGGGCCTGGGGCGTCGGCAGATGTGCCATGTAGGGGCCGCAAGCTGACAACAACCTACGTGCCAGGCAAATAGAAGCGCACAGGAGACAGGAGTTCACGGAGTTCACGGAGTTCACCAACACCTTTTCGGATGCCAATTCATGGGGTGGGCCGCCCTACCCGACCCCCTGAATGACCCCCGCAGAACTACAGACACCCCATGACACCCCCGCAGAACCCGACGAGCCCCGCATAGCCACGCAGAACCTATAGGGAAGACTACAATTGCCTTGTGGAAAAGTTCGCAGAACCGCCCGCTGCCTCGCAGAAGCGCGGCTGCCCCGCAAAGGATATTCAGAGGGCGCATAGACAGCCCACCCCATAAATTGGCGCCCCACCTTTGCAACGGATCCCCAACTCCTCGCTTGCCCCCCTTGCTGCGCTGGGAGAGGAGTTCCTGGAAGGGACGCCCAAAGAGGCCGAGGCCAGCGTTGCCAGCACATTGCGAGGTATTGCGAATGGTTTCCGGCTGGCAAACAAAGCGATGTCACAGCGATGTCTGCCGTTGTTTCCCCAGCACAGGTCGTTGATCTGATGCTGGGCGCCGTGGAGCGTGCGGTGGGGCTAGCAAACGGGACCCTCGGCATCTCGCAATGGGGAGTTGCACTTGGGCGCGAGTGTTTTCCTTTTCGTTTGTCTTGCGTGTTGACTTTTGTTGCTCCGTTCTACTGAAGTTCTACTTGTCACGTGGGAGCAACTGGGGAGCAGCTTACAGGAGTCTGCGCGAGAACGTCCGTGCCACGAAGCTGCTCGGAGGGCACTCTGCGTTTTGTGAGAGCGGCTTAAGTGAGGGCTGCTGTTTTGGAGTGGGTGCCAAAGGCTGCAGCTGTGGGGCGCCGCGCTTCCTATCACGCGCCCCTCGGACAGGAACGGAGCCACACGACGCCACGCCATGGCAGAGCATGTGAGCTCAGTTCATTCTCCTTACGTTCTTCCCTTTTGCGCCCTTGAGGCTGGGCGAGCCGGGATGAGGTGGACTTCGCCTGGTCGGCGAGCCACCGCATTGGCATCGCAGGTGCCACGTTGTTCGATGATTGTGCACGACCCCCCCCGGGTATTTTGATGATGCAGAGAACCTCCAGTGTATAGCCTGCATAGCATGTCTGCAGATCGAGTTCCTCAAAAGCTGCAAGTAATGTCAGGAATGAAATGTTCGCAAGCAACTGTTTTTTTATCAACTGCCCTCGACCCTGGAGGTGACTGGCTCAGTGCAGTGCCATCCAGGGCTTCCACCATCGAGGCTGCGTGGCTGTCAGGCGTCCACATCGCCGACCACATCGCCGCTTGGATACTTGAGCATTCGAGCAAGATGCAGAGATGCAGATGTTGACTGAAACATACTGAACGACCTCTTCTGCCCTTGAATGGCTGTGAGCCACATTTCCCTCGTTTGCTTTTGCTTTTGCGTTGGCTTGCGCGTTGGCTTTTGCGATGTTTGCCCCGGGCAATTCTCAGCTTTGAGGCGACTTCGAGCGGAGAGGACGCAGGCCTCCAGCTTGGCCGGTGCCCCCAGGATCGTCTTTCCTCTCTTCAGCTGAGCTCTCACGCACTTTAGCCAAACAACATACTCAGATACTGAATGAACAGGTCTGTTCAATGGCAAACGCTTTGTTCGTTAGAGACTTAGAGAGATCCGAGGCCAGGACGGGGGTGTCTTCGTACCCGTCGATGCAGATTTCGGCACAGCAGCCGGCGAGGCTGTGGCTCGACGTCCAAAAGAGACAAGCTCCCCAAAGGACCCTGGAAGAACTCCTGATAAAGTGCTCAAAGTTGCTCAAGAATCTTGAGCGGCAACGGCACCGTCAGTATTGTGAGGGAAATAAAGGCTGTTTGAGTGCTTCATGAACCTGCCAGTGACAACATTGCCGAGGTGGCAACGTTAGGCGAAAATCTGAGGTTTGGGTGACCGAGCCGTCGGAAGAGCCGAAGGGCACTTTCAAAGGCAAAGGTCGCAGCGGCAAGGCGCAAGGGAGCTGCGTGAAGACTTGGACAGGTGTAACTACATGCAATTACGTGCATGAAGGTGCGCACATGAAAGGTCATGAATTCGAAGCTTGTGAGAACGTGTGCAGAGTACATGTCTTTGATTGTCAGTGCGGCTGCCAGGGTTGGAAAGGCAAGGGCGGACGCGGTCGGGGACGGCCAGCCGCGCAGGCTAGCTGAAGGCCGCGCCTTTTCCGAGAGGCGGCCAGGCCCGAAAAAAAGCTCGAGAACCGTCGTGCTTTCCGTGCTTGTCGCATCTTTTACAAGCTGTTTTCTCGGGAGCTGAGTCACATCTGGGCATGTGAGTTTCGCGATGGTACAGCCTCGCAGCCATTATGTGGACCACCGGCACTTAAAGTGGAGAGCAGGAAGGTGCAGTCTTCTCTGCTCTCTGCGAGCCATGCAATTTGGTTGCGGCGCTGGCTATGCTGCGCCGGCTCAGTATGCCAATGGCTACGCTGGGTGGACTCCTCAAGTGCCACTTGGCGAACTCTGCCGCTCCTCTGCGGATCCGCTGATTCTGTACAGCTGAAGCGCTTCATCAGATTGAGTCTATAGACCTTGTATTGTGCTACATATATGTGTAAACATATGGTGCTTCGCTTCAATAGCTCCGCAGTTGAACTTTGCAAGCCCTTCGCTAGGCTGCCCTCCGGTGGACAGCCTGGCTGCATGGCCTACGCTGGAGGCCAGGCCGGAGGCTACACTGGAGGCTACACTGGTGGCTACACTGGCGGCTACACTGGAGGCCACACAGGCTACGGCGACGGCGACTCGCAGCAAGGGACCATTGCTCCCAACGGAAACAGTGGAAAGAAAGGAAGGGGAAAGGGCGATGGCAAGAAAGGCAAGAACGGCAAAGGAGGCCTGGATCAGTTTGTTTTTCCTCCGCTTGCTGCATTTGGGAATGGGCTGCTTGGCTAGGCGGTGACAGAGATCGGGCACAGGCATGGTCTGGGCAAGGCAACGTTGAGGCGAGGATCATTTGAAAGCAGAAGCAAACAAAGCACGTTTTTAAAGCGAGAGCACTCTCGAGTTGAGCTCCCCCCCCCACCAGAGCTCCGGCACAGGAGGCACTTTCTGGCTTTGACGCCATGTCGGCTGCAGCGAGCAGCTATGTCAAGAAGGCTCCCAAACAGGTGGGGGCACTTTCTGGTGGGGCCTCTTTATTGATGCTCTTTGATCCCACTATCCAAGCACCTTGCGGCCAAAGGTGAAGGCACCGGCGGAGATGAACGCGCCCTCGTACGAGGAGCGAAACCCATACCGTCTCAAGAACAACATCCGTGCCTGGCACACCGATGGCTCTACCACCTCGGTGCCCGACCCTTACGGCACCTATCCGGAGGCGGAAGACATCCCGGGCAGGAGTCTTGAATAAGCCCAGGTCCTTCGTGAGGTCGTAAATGCAGCGCATGGAAGAAACAAGATATACATATATGAGTTGTAAGTGTGTACATACACATATGTATATATTCATGTAATTAATTTATTTTTTTGTATGTAACAACCGCCTCAGTAATTTTGGACCTAGGCTTTTGTTTCAGTGGCTGTTGCAAGAAGCGATGATTCGCAGCTTTCAAATGAGTAGAGCGGACCTCGAGAAATACGGCTGGCGACTTGAAGCTTAGTATGACATTAGCACATCTACTTGGCAGCAGATTGCAACAGGGTCAGGTTCGAAATTGTGGACTGCGTGCGGGAGTCAATCGTGCATACCTGGAACGCAGTGTCAGAATTCCGCGAAGAACATGGCTTCCAGAAATGGCCGCACTGTGTTCGCTGTGCCCTGACACTGGCACTGTTCGCTGCGCTGCCTTTGATCAGGCGCAGCTCCCACGGCCTCTCCTGGAGAGCTTCCGGCGTGCTGGCTTCCAAGCCCCCACAGCCATCCAGGCAACGCAGACTGTGACCGGGGTATTCCTCTGTTGTGCATCATGTGTGCATCATGGTCACAATGAGGAATGCCTGTACGACTGTGCGATCTATTCTTAAGTGTTGCACGCCGTCTTGACAACAGAAGGTTTAACAGTAGAATGACACCGTTTTTTGGTTGCTTCCTTTCTTGGAACTTCATTGGCACCTTAACACAGACTCTTGCAGGCACAGGTCTGGCCCATCCTGGACAACGGCTGGGATGTCATCGGCATCGCCAAGCCCCGCAGCTGAGAGAGCCTGAGTAGATTAGAGCTGTATGCCTATGGGGAGGGAAATGTATATATATATATACACGCATACATACATACATACATACATACATACATACATACATACATACATACATACATACATACACATGCAACGTGTGTGTGTGTGTGTGTGTATTTTGTCATACTCTGTCATATGATAAATTTCAGTATAAATAAATAAATACATATATATATATATATATATTCAAACCATTGTATATCTTGTCTATCTTGTATATAAAGTAGAATTGGGCGAGTAGCATCGAGTCGTCGAAACTCCAAGGCCGAAAGAGTCCGGAATTCCCCAAACCTAAAGCTTCTGGAGGACCGGCTCGGGCAAGACTCTGGGCTTCTTGGTCCCCGCTTACCGGTGGATGACCGCCAGCTACACCGCCGGCATCCGCACCTTGATTTTGGCACCCACGCGGGAGCTGGCCACGCAGATCCACGACGAGGCGAGCACAGATGCCATGTAAAGTTGAAGGTTATGTGGAACAAACAGCTGATAATTGTAGAGCACTGTATGGTGCAGTGACAACAGCAGTTCTCAGGAAGTGCAGGTCTTGGACGTGTCTTGCAAGGTGTTTCGAAATGCGTCGGCTTCAGAACAACTTTAAAAAGCATTTGAGAGGCCAGCAAGTTTGCCGGTGCCTCGGGCTTCTCCAGTGCCTGCGTCTACGGCGGCCAGCCCAAGCGCGAGCAATTGCCGGCCGTCCGGGCGGGCGCCCCGATCCTGGTGGCCACACCTGGGCGCCTCAACGACTTCCTGGAGTACAAGGCAGGGGAATCTGATGGATGTAACGCCAATAGATCAAGCAAGTACTCGTACAGTAACAAGATGACAAGTCACGTCATATCATTGAAGCCTCTTTTTGCATTGCAGGCCGCTTTCCATGATAGAGTTTAGCAGAGCAGCTCAGCCTGCAGCGCCGGAACTTCAGCCCAGCCGGTCCCCTTCCAAAAGCGAGAGGACATCAATCTTTCCGCCGTGGGCTACCTCGTGTTCGACGAAGCCCGAGTCTCAAAAGACACCGACTTCGAGTCCCCTAAGTTTAAATCGGTTTCGAACAAAAGCATACATGGAAAGATAGTTACTTCCGCATTGCATAGGCTGTCAGGCACATCACGAAATCGCAAGGTCGCTCAAAGCTTTGTGTCGAGGGCCGTTGTTTATACACGAGGACTTGGACGTATGTCCGCAGTAGTGTTTGAGGGTTGTGAGCAGTCGAAGCCCAGAGTATTGGCGAGAATCTGACAATGTGGACTCGTCTTAAATCCATTTCTTTGTGTGGGCTACCGGCTATTGCTCCATGAACTGGCCCCACCCAGCACTGTTTTGTGATATTTCCACCAAGAATTGAACCCGTGATCACAGACGCAATCATGGGGAGAGATTGAGCGACCATAAATACCATCAAGCTTGCAAAGCTGGAGCTCCCACCCCCGAGGCAGACCGGATGCTGGATATGGGGTTCGAGCCGCAGGCGTTAATAAGATTGTAAGATGGTCAACATGTCATGTGGCGTGTCTGCTGTACCATAGTGGTCCATATCTTATGGCATAGCCTCGGTGCTCTCGATTTGCTCGCATGGGTCTCCCCGAACCAGAGAACATCTCCCAATCCCACGCAGATCCGCGACATCATGAAGAAGGTGGGGGCTCTGAACGGCCCTTTTTTGCGGTTCTTGCACATTGTTTCTCCGGAATCTTCATGGCATGAGCACATCGTGGCCCAGCAGGTGCCCAGAAAGAGGCAGACGCTGATGTTCAGTGCCACCTGGCCTGAGGAGGCCGGCAATATCCTGCAGCACTCCACAGCGTGTGAACAGCGTGTGAACGGAGAAGGGAGGGGGTACGGCTTGAGAGAAAGGCAGCGGTATGCAGCGGTGTTTCTGTCAGGTGCAAAATTTGGCGTGGCCTCCTCAGGCTGCATGTGGCGAGAGGAGAGCATGGAGAGCTCTCTCGAGGGCGACAGCTTCTGAGGCATGACTTCCTGAGTTCTCCCATCCATGTGCAAGCTGGCAATACCTCCTCCCTGTCCGCCAACGAAGACATCAGCCAGCAAGTCTGGATGCTTAACTCCTCAGACGACAAGGACGCAGCGCTCGCAACCTGGCTCTTGCTCAGTTTTTGGCAGATGTTGTCCGACACGCTCATGCCCCACTCCATACATAGAACCCCGAGATGCAGGAAAAAAGAGCTGCTCATAACAAGCCTCTCAGGTCGAGGCCCTGCAGCTTTACGGGGGACCCCGACAGCGAGTCCTTGTCTTCGTGGCCATGAAGAAGCAGTGTGACGCCGGGGGCTCAAGAAAGGCATGATTGGTCTTCTATAGGGCCTTAGGGCCTAGGGATGGCGCTTGCAGCATCCTGTGCACTCGGCCACTTGGGGGAACGATGGGGAACGTCTTTCTCAGATGGTGATGCGGATGCTCCGCAAGTGCCAGATCTCGGCCAACACCATGCACAGCGACAAGGCGCTGCAACGTGTGCGTCGTCGTTAATGCAGAAGATGATTCTTAAGTACTCGGTAGGACGTCGTAGGAGGCAGGTCGCAACAGCTTTGGGTCATCAATGGGCGCTTAGGACCAGCAGCAGCGAGAGGAGGCTCTGCATCAATTCAAAACCGGCGAGACCTCCGTGCTGATCGCCACCGACGCCATGGCCTTAGGGCGGAGTCCTGGGATGATTCAGAGAGACACAGAGACACAGAGAGAGAGAGAGAGAGGTCACATTGGGACAGGGACATGTTTTGTGACTTTGTTGGTTAGGCACTCCTTGCTCTCCGAACACAGGCTGTCTCACGCGGAAGAACACAATACGTGCTCGAAGTGTCGAAGTGTGCATCCTGACAGCACACCACCTCTGGGGTGGGATGTATAGGTTGTAGGGGGAAGGGTACAGGGTACAGGGGGGAAGAAGATGCAGGATGTAAACACATTTCTCCGCCTCGTAGTGTCACGCAGACTGGGCGCGCCTAGCGCGGTGGGGGGGGGGGGGGGGGTCACTCCCCTCAAGAAGAAGAAGAAGAAGAAGGAGAAGAAGAAGAAGAAGAGGAGGTCACATTGGGGGCGCGCCGAGAGCGCGGGGGCTAGAGAGAGGGAGAGAGAGAGAGAGAGCAACAATCCAAAGAACACTAGAGAGAGAGGCTTAATTAAAGCGTGGAGCGTCATGACCAAGAAGAGAAGCTCTGTGACTTAGTTCAGCCAGCGGTCTTGATACAGCACATGGGGCATGTCATTCCCTCCCTGAAACCCCCGGTACTCAGAGCTGATAGGGCGCCAGCTCCTTCTACATTGCTTCCCTTTCTACAAAAGCAGTCCTCAGGTAGTCACCTCACCGGTGAGGGCGCAGCATCGTATCAGCTGGTACACACGCGCCCATCCAACGCTCCCCTTGGGGCGCTACGTGTGTAGGAAGGAAGGGAGAAGAGAGAAGGAAAATCTGCGCCAACTTGCCACAAAAGCAAAAAAGGAAAAGAGAAGGACCTCGTTTCCATCTCCCATCTCTCATTGTCCATCCCCACTCTCAACCTCTTGAGTCACGAAAGGCCTCAGTGCATGCGGGGGGACATCAGTGGTTTGCTTAGCCGAGACTCGTGTGAGGTCGCAGCCCGTGGGCTGGACATCAAAGGCGCCCAGCAAGCAAAGGAGAAGACTCAAATCGGACTTGTGTCAGACATGTCTCAGAGTTGTGCAGCCGCTGCAGTATAGGGACTCGACATGTGGGTGTGACACATGGGGGCACATATGGACCCGGTGGCAACGCATTGGGTAAAGAGCGCCGTGTGGCGTGCGACGTAGCATGCCAGGCGTCACTTTGGTCCAGGTCTCAGTCTACTTCCGGCATTGGAGCTGCGGGCTCTTTGCCAATTTGCCCTAGAGCAGACATTCCTGCCCTAGAACTTTTATCCCCTCGAGTCTCTTCAATTCAAAGAGTCCTTCACAGCTGTGTCTCCTGTCGTAAGGTGATTAATTATGACTCTGCCAACAGCACCGAAGATCACGTCCACAGAATAGGACAGCAGACATGGAGCGAATTGCAGGGGAGGAGAGAAGTCCATAGGGTGCGATACACGGTGAGATTCGAGAGTTCTGCCCTCGAGAGGAAGAACAGGCCGTGCGGGGCAGAAAGGCCATAGCATCACCTTCCTCGCCAAGTCAGGCGTCTCGTTCTACACTCTACTTTTGCAGCTGCTACATTCTTAAGACTGTGTGAATTTGCGTTGCATTCTGAAGAGAATTGCTTCTTGAGGCGAGGATGCTTGGAAGGCCATTGGGATCGCGGAGGTCCAGGGCTCAAGTCTGCCGGAGTGTCGCCGTGTCTGCACCGGAGTGACGCCTCCTCCAAGTCGACAAAAAATTTTGGTTCTTCCTGAGGTGATGCAGAAGGCGGGCTGCACAGTGCCTCCGGACATGAAACAGGCCAGGCCACGAGCTCAGAGTTCACATGTCAAAAAGATTTCCAAGGGGCTGTTTCGCAATCCTTGGACATTGCTTCGAGGCTTTGATTCCTCAACCTCTTCCCACTTGCAAAGATTCCGAAACAAAGAACCAGTGGTGTATCTGCACAAGCAGCTCATGTCCGGCAACTGGCCCCTATCCTGGACTGCAGTGTACCTGTAGTTGTCCCTAGCTTGTCGGACCCGACGCCCCACGTTACTCTGCCCGGCAGCCTGTTTACTAATAATTTTGGAAGTAGCAAGAGGTACCAGGAGGGCGCTTTGGATATAACTTGTTTATAACTTGGTTATAACTTAGTTATAAATCCTGTAACTGAGTTATAAGTGAGTTATAAGTATGTCGATTTTTGTTGAACTTATAAATGTTTATAAGTCACTTATAATTACTTGGCCTGTCGGACTTATGCGGACTTATGTGGACTTATAACTACTTACGAACCACCTTTTTTTTGTTGTCTTTGTTGTTGCTTTTCGTGTCATGTTGTTGTGATAAATCGGCTTTCCTTGTAGCTCGACTTGCCATTGCAGCCTCAAGGTTTTGTCCGTTTTCCCACTTGTAGCCGCGCTATGGCAGCCGCACCAGTGCGTCATGTTTCCACGCGCCGGGCCACGCACACAAACTCACTAACATCCTGCTCTACGTTCCGCAGCATCCTTTTGCCACCCTGATAAAATACCGGACAGCGCTGCCAATTGCGAGATCCTCGCTTTTCTCGCCGACGTGCTTGCGGAGCAGTGAGTTGCGGAGAGCTCCCGGGCTATGTCCGCGGGATGTCCGCGGGTGTCCGCGGATGTCCGCGGATGTCCGCGGCCTCCTCGGCCCCAGTATAGGCCTTTGCCTAACAGAGCATGTCCGCGCGGCCAAAACAATGTGTTCTGCTGGGGCTACACATGTAGGGCCAGGTTTTTCACGCCCCACTCCCTGCTTTGGATCCCTATATATACCCTCAACCCCAAACCCAGCTACCAGAACCCAAGCCGAGCAGACGGTGGAAACCTTGCAGTGCCACAATTGCCGCTTGAGCAAGGCAGTCTCCCAACGCCGCCAGCACGGGCTACGCTGCCTGCGTCGGACGTGCGAGAGTGTCCAGTTGGCGGTTGCGAAAATGGGATGCGAAAATCACCATTCCTGGCAAACGGACGGCGATCGTACAAAATACAATTTTGTGAAAACCTGTAGGACTTAGGTCTACTTATAAGTTACTTATAAGTTACTTATAACTCACTTATAAATACTCCAACCTAAGTCACTTATAAGTGGGTTATAAGTCCGTAAGTTCAAAGTGTCCTCCTGGTAGAGAACTCCATATACCCTTGTCAGCGCCCCGCACCTCACGTCGTCGAATGATGCGCCCACCTTCACAAACACACTAGCTTCAGGTCCTTTATTCTATCTTCTATGGACGTTTCGGGCAGCAACCGTGGGCGTGTAGTGGGGAAGCGCAGTCATGTCTTGCGTGGTATCTGCTGCAGTGTTTGCTGGAGTTTACGGCGAACAGCGCATGTCATGGCATGTCGTGAACGGGAGCGGGTTTCCACAGATCCTGCCGCCTGTCAGCCCCAACGGAGAGGAAGAGATTTTGCCAACAGAGAAGCAGCAACTTCCAAGCATTTCAAGGAAAGATTCGGGGACTGTTGGGAGGTCGTGGACCGGATGCTGTGGAAACGCCAGCAGTCCCAGCAGCCTTAGCCTGAGAACGCTCCGCAAACCTTGCGCCCACGAATTTCACGAAATCTGCCAGAAGCCAATGAGCCTCACACTGCCCGAGGAATGATTCACGCTGGGACAACCTGCCGAAGGTGCACCGTCTTGAGGACAACTGGGCCAGAGATGGGGAGAGAAGAGAATGATCAGAAAATGGTGTGCTGGGCTTTTTGGAGGTGCTGATGGTGGCAGAGAAGCCTTCTGTGGCCAAACTGATCGCAGAGATCCTGTCAGGGGGCCGCATGCGCTTCCGCAAAGGCTCTGCCTTGAGCTTGCTATATACTTGCTACGACCGCATATAGGGCAAAGAAGACCTATTCAGTTAGAGTTGTAGTCATGAACCGGATTGACTGGAGAGGCCAGAGCCGGGCCGTGCAAATCTATGAGTTCAACAGCTGGTTTCCACCTGCGCACCAGCAGTGTCGAATCATACAGGCACTGTCAACTACTTTCAGTCCTGCTATTCATAAAGTGTAGCTTGTCTGAAGAGTGTTCCAGCCTCATCTGCAGACCTCCACCATCGGCCACGTCTTCGGAAACTTGGCGGCACCAGGAAATACTCAGGCCAGTCAGGCATGCCGATTCTGAAATCGACACTTAGTTTCTCAGTGTGTTCAAGTAAGGATTGGACTTCAAGGACAACCGCCCCAAGGACATCGACACTTCTCACCCTCTGTGGTTAGCTTTTCGCGCTCTCTCACTCTCTGTCCCGCTTCGCTCCCAATCTGTAATAGGTCGTAACATCTCGGGGTGCACATGTGCTTTTAGACATCGCCGACCTTGGTTTGAGGCCAAACTGACTCAAACGGCAAAAGGATTCACGAACTGAAGGCATCTTCAGATGCGAGATGCCACAACTGGGCGCTGGAGCTGTGGTTGAAACTATGTCAAGCCCGGAGTCAAGCCCAGACTTCGGAATCGTATCCAAAAGGAATCACCAATTGCCAGCCAAGCCAGGGCGAAACCACGGCACAGAGGATGCGTGAATGAAATGCTTCTGGACTCTGGTATTTGAAGGACATCGCCGACCTTTTCCATGACCCGTGTGGCTCCAAGAGTGCTTACCCCTCACCTGAGAATGCTGCAAGTAAAACCCGGAGTGTTTCTTCAGAGGCTGTTGCAGCTTGAAAGGGTTTAGGGTTCGGGTTCGAGGATGAGCTGGTCTCACTCTCATCAGAGGTGCAAGAAGACCATCGAAGATGGCACTGCCGCCTGGCTAAGCATCAAGAGTGATGAAGACGAGCCATCGGAGAAGGAGAGGATAAACGCGATTTTGTCTAAACCCCCTCCACTCCGGGACCGTAACGCCCCAAAGCCCCTGAAGCCCCTATAAAGCCCTAAAGCCTTTCCCCATGTTTTCTGTCCCTGAGGCCAAGAATCGGATCGTGGAGCACTTCCAGGAGCGCCGATGGATCCCCTTTACCATGCTCTCTCTATTTCCTCTCTCTCTCTCTCTTTTTCTCTCTCTCTCCCTTTCTCTCTCTCTCTCTCTCTCTCTCTCTCTCTCTCTCTCTCTCTTTCTCTCTTTGTACCTGTAAAATGGAATGTCTTTCTTGCCATCATTTCTGTCTTTTCTTGCTTTCTTCAATGTCCTCCATTTCAAGAACAAGGGTTCCATCCCACCCACCACAGCTGGTCCAACAGGAGTGATGGACCATGTGGGGGTTGAAACTGCGCACAATGCAATGTCATTCTTTCTTCAACTCTCTACATGACATGCGATCTCTGCACGTGATTTGCTGGGATCGCTGGCTCTTGAGGAGCTCGCAGCGGAAGCCGACTACCTGGCACTGTGGCTGGACTGTGACAAGGAGGCGGCGCCCCCACTAGCGCCCTGCCTCGACAACGGCTGCCCGCGCACCCACTCATCTGCCAGTGGAACTGCAAGCAGCAGGCAAGTTTTGGCTCTCAGAGTATTCTGGGGCCCAGCACGCCAGGGAGAGAACATCTGCTTCGAGGTGATTTCCTTGTGCGGTGGCCTCAGGAAACGACGAGCACGGGCCATGTGCCGAACAAGTGCTGTGAGGCGAGAACGTTCCCAAGGACAACATCTACAGGCCAGGGCCCTGTGAGGCTTGCGTAAGCCTGAGTATAGGCCTGAGCATAAGCCCTGTGTAGAGGCAGCAAAGAACGCGTTTGGGCAAAAATTGTCCCCGCCCCCCCCCCCCCCCCACCCGCTTTCCTCCCCCTCCCTCCCCCCTTCTTTTCGTGTGCTAGGGCACAGTTCTCCGCCCTGACCGAGCCAGAGCTCCGAGGCCGGAAGCTGCATATCAAGCAATCAGAAAGAGCTGAGAGAACGATTTTATGCTGCGGAGTAGGAGCTCTGCAAAGTAAGCCCTGTTGTAAGCTTTGCGCTTTCAAGTCGTTGAAACATGCGAACGTTCTGAGCGTCCACTTCTCGCCGATTGTTTGCTTGAAGCAACAAGGGGCCTACAACAACCTGGGCCGTCCTGACAAGCTCGCAGCACAAGCTGTGGGTGTCCCAGTTTCCGGATTGATGTCGGCTCAAAATTTTCCAAATTTAAGTTTCGAGTGTGAGATGTCCTGCAGCCAAGGTGGATGCTCGGCAGGACGGTTCCTGATTCGAGAAGAAGGGTTGCCAGAAGTTGAGAGTAGATGCCTGGTAATGTTTGAGGCTGGTACGGCTTAGCATGTTCGATGATTCGAGGGATCTATGTGCTGCTGCACTGTGGACAAGATCAGCCTTGGTCAGTTTCTTGAAGGGCCACAAAAAGAATAGGCACTAACTGCTTAATGGATTCCGGGCAAGAAGATACTATTAGCTCCAAGGTTCCTCTGGTGGAGGTTGAAGGTTTTGGTGTTGAGGGCTCGGGGGGTCTGCGTTCTAACAGGCTCCTTGTGATGAGGGCAGTGTTTTTACATGTTGAAGACGTGTCGGAGCGGAAGTTCAAAATTGGCAATGAGGTTCACGGGGGGGGGCTGGTGGTGGGCGGGTGGTGGTTGTGTTTGGTGCCATTCAGGTGGTGGGGGGTGTTTGTCTGTTGGCATGGCGTTTGGGTGGATGGCTTTTGTCTCGGAATGTCTGTCGAATGGTGACCTTTCCGGGTCCTGAAAAAACAAAAGCCCCTGGTCAGGAGTTGGACCTCAAGATTGGCTGCATCTTCACGCGGCTCATGACCCGCCAGTATCTCCGCTACGCTGTGGAGAAGCCTCTTGCCCAGAAAGGGGCTGATGGAGGGACTGGCAAGCCCCCCCCCCCCCCCCCCAAGAGTGCTCAGTTCACTGGCATCCGAGGTTCCGACTCCGTGACCAGACTTGCTTGAGCTACGGGCCCTGCCAGACGCCCACGCTGTGGTTCTGCCAGGGCCTCTGGACATGTGTTGAGCAAAAACCAAAAAGTGTGACGTCTTTCTGTATGGTCTTTCCATGGACTTTCCTATGGCGGTTGCTTCCTTTTTTGCTGTGTTTTGTTTTGTTCGCGAGGCGTTGAGAGGCATAAGGAGATCCAGAACTTCCAGAGGCGGCGCACACACACACACACAGAGCACAGGGCAGTGCTATGCAGTGCTGTTGGTCCACTGATTTGACTGATGTGACTGATGTGACTGGTTTGTTGTGCGAGGCAAGAGTTCTATAAGCCTAAGATTTCCGTGAACGTGGATGGCTGGCCATTGGAGTTTGACTGGCTCGATGGCCAGACCTTCGATGCAGGCTGCGCTTGTGTGGCCGTGTCCTGCACGTCGTCAATCTCCTTGCTTTCATTCATTTGGCTTTTGCATTGGGATGTTCCCTTATACTAACAGTCCTTAGATAGGGGTTGTAGTAACCCGACTGGAATCCCCATTAAGATTTTTGGTATAAGGGGGAAACATCCCAACTTGTGACATGTATTTGTGCTCCAGCCGGCTTCCTTTGCGGTTCACACGCAAAGGCCGCGTCAAGTCCCTGCAGTCTCGGGCACAGTCGGCGAAGCAGGCTACCGTGAAGGAGCTGAGGAGCCCCGGATGCACTTCAGCCGTGAAGATGCGTGTGAAGATGCGTGTGAAGATGCGTGACGATGCGTGACGAAATTCCGCCGGAAAAGGACCACCCCCAAGACCTTGAAGAAGCCGGTCGGCCGGGCGCTCGTCGCAAGGAGCTGTCAGACTGTCAGACGGTGTCCTTGCCCGCCTTCTTGCTGACATTCTGGGACAGCTGCTCATACTGCAAACAGGCAAACAGCTACCTGATTCGTCAAATGATTTGCCCACAGGCCTCAACACCGTGCAGCTGCTGAAAGCTGCCAGCACCGGTCTTGGCCGCGCGGCTCAGTGCACCTACGGAGCTCAGCATATGGCTGTGCATCGAAACATCGGAGTGCATTTCCGAGCTCGTGGAGGGGCTTGTGCTCGCACGCCTGCCAAGGTATGTCTCCGGTGCAGTGCATGAAGGTGGCCGAGCACCTTTACACCTCCGGGTACATCTCCTATCCACGTACCGAAACAACCAGGCGCGGAGAGATGAGTGAGGAGCGAAAGACCATTGGCAAGCAAGACTAAGAGTGCAAATACAGAGGGCAATAGACGTGCAAAGTGGAATCAGAAAGAGACACTTGCAAGGGAGGCTCTGATAGTTTCGGTTAGGTACTCGGACACTTTCGACCTGCACACCGCCTTGCGGGAGCAAGCAGACCACCCGGCCTGGGGGAAGACGGTGAGCCATCTGCTGCGGCAGGGGCAAATCCGGAACCCGAAGACTGGCCGTGATGTGGGAGACCATCCCCCGATCACGCCCATGAAAGCTGCCCCCAGGGACGAGTTCAGCAAAGGCCACCGAAGAGCCGCCTCGCAATGATTCCAATGTTCATTGACTTCTTTCCTGTCAGCTCTGACTCTATAGTCGGAGTTCTCTCTGGTCCGATTCTCTCTTGAGAGGCTCTGAGTGGCGGCTCTATGACTTCATCACGAGGTCGGGTACACAAACGTTTGTGAACCAGAGCTCTTAGATTAGGTCGTCGTGTGGGCACAGTGCAGTGGCACAGTGTTGTACACAACTTGGAGATGACTTTCAAGTGCTAGGGCGTGAGAATGTTCGCAGGATGCAACGGGCACGTTCGGGTGCTTCTGTTCCGAGGCACTTCATCGCGTCGTTAATGCCGGACGTGGAGTATGAGGAGAAGGCAACTTCCGAGTCCGGAGATACTAGTAGTGAAGTGAAGGGTTTGAAAGATGCGAGAGAGTTTGCCGGAGGCCTTGATCGTGAATGTCGGCGGGGAGGAGTTCGCCTACACCTACCACGAGATGCGCGAGAGGCGAGACCTGGCGAGAGCGTGACACCGTGTATGTCACCGCTGGCACAGCACAGCACCCCCTTTTCAAGCGTACTTCTTAAAGTGCCTTCTGGGTGCTGGGTGCTTCCATGTGCTCAGGGGCTTCCTCTTCGCCATGCCCTGGAAGAGCAAGGATTTGAACCTCAACGAGATCGATTGGAAGTTGCCTCGGCTGGCGCCAGGGAGTCGGCTCAGCGTCGAAGAGCTTTGGGTCGAGAGCGACTTCACCAAGCCGCCAGACTACCTGCCGGGAGCCCCAAACGCTCTTCCGATTGCTTTCGCTTGTCTAGAGAGTTCTCACACCCCTGAGAGCACTTCCGAGTCCAAGCTTTCTGTGCAAGCTTCGTCTTTGTGCACGTGGGATGCCTCCTTGAGGAAGGAGAGCGAGCTCGTGGCACTGATGGACAAGCATGGCATCGGCACTGACGCCAGCATCCCCCAGCACGTGGCAGCTCCGCTGCAAGTGACCCTCTGGGTCCTTCTCACGTCGCTCTCGTTTCTAAATGTCGTGCTCTTATCCTTCGCCTACGCTGCACCTCACAATGTCAGAATGCAACAGCGTCTTTCGCATGATTGGCTGCAGCTGGGGCATGTGACGGCAGGAAAACATCTGCAACCGCAACTACGTGATGGTCTGTGGCCCGGGGGAAGATGGACAGCGCGGCGAGCGGATACCCAAGGGAGGCAAGAAAGGCAAGGGCAAGGCGCGCCACATGATTTGACACGTATAAGATGTTCCTGAAGTGCCATGCTTGTGCCTTGTGCCATGGCGAAGCTGCCTGTGCCAGCAGCCGAGGGCAAAGGCAAAGAGAAGGGTGGCAAGGGTCAAGGGGGTGAGAAGCCCCAGTCCCGACACATGGTGCCTTGGTGGCAGCTCACGGCAGCTCACGGCAGCTCACGGCACACTGCAGCACACTGCAGCACACTGCAGCACACTGCAGCAGGCGTTAAGCAGAGACCGTAGGACACGGATCTCCCTTCTAAGGTCCCAACGTCACTCGGGCTCAGCTTTTGTGCGGCCTTCGAGGCCGGGACAGGGCGAGGTTTCAGTCTAGTACTGGTTGGATTTCAGCAGATGAGGCTCCGGATATCGTAGTTCTTTCCACGGCAGGGACGTACTATGGTTGCTGGAGTTACTGGAGTTGCTCTAGCGGATCCTCGGCCCTTGGCAGGAGTTGGATGCAGAGCTTTGTCGGCCCCCCATCCGAGCCTACATGGCGCCGCAACCGCACAGATCCTTTTGTGATGTGTCGTCCCATGTCTGCCCGCAAGTGCTTGGGCATTGCAGATTTTTTTCTACATGAACGGGAGTGGAGGATGTCAACTGAACACAGCAGGTCAATCACTCAAGTTTTGCCTCCCGGGACGCCCAACTCCATCAGCGCAAGCAGGAGACGCCGACATCGACGATCATTGACGGCTACACGGTAAAAGTACGTATACCTCATATACAAGACCGCGCTCCCTCATCCGTGCCCGAAGCAGCACGAATTTCCTTTAGCATCCTGTAGATCAAAAGCAGCGGCAGCGTGTTGAGAAGCAAGGGACTACAGAAACAGGAAGTGCTGCCGCGTGACGCCAATCAAAGAGTTCGATCCAAGCATTGGCAGCCTTCACACCGTCTGACATCAGAAATTTCCATCTGGCCTTGCATGTCTCAAGCATGCCTGTCCATGCTACATGCTCTAAGGAGAAGCAATGTTCGCAAGTGGCGGTAGCTCGGCAGAGACTCAAAGCCATGTACACCAGTGGGGGGGGTGGGGTGGGCAGCTGCAAGTGCACCCGAAGTCGACTGAGCCGAGGAAGGAATCCTGGACAAGGCTGCTGAATCCATGCTCTGCATACCATGCTCTGCATGGTTTCCTGATCATGCAGCACCCCTTCCCATGAGGAAGACGTGGTGAATGAGAACATCAAGCTTTTCGAAACGAAGTTCCACAGCTTCAGGCTCCCTGGCGGCATAGGCTGAGACAGACATACTGTAGACAGGCAGACGCTTGTTGCTAGTTCAGTGCCAGGGGGCGCCTGAGCCAGCTCGACAAGTTCTTCGTCTCGAAGGACCAGATTGGCAACAGCATGGGTTACCGCGGAGGTGGCGATTGGGGAGGTGGTGGAGGCGGAGGTGGTGGCACTTGGAATGGAAGCTGGGATGGTGGGGGCTACGGGGGCAAGAGCAGGGGAGGCGGGGGAGGCGCCAAGGGCCGTGGAAGAGGCGGCTGGCACTGACGATGCGCTCGCGCTTGTGTTGTGGACATCGAAAACCCAAGAGATCACCCGGAGCATCGGCGGCACATTGAGGAGGACCTAAGCGGAGAAGACCGTCAGAATCCTTCCGTGAAGACCAAGCGCTTGGAGGCATTCGGAGGCTGCACCGGAGATGCCGAGTTCGAGAGCGAGAAAGAGTCAGGAAAGAAACTCGCGCCGAGGGAGGTTATTGCCGGTTGTTGCTGTTTAGCCGTACAGCTCAGTACAGCTCAGGGCTGAGCCCTCTTCAAGCTACATCATGGAACAGGGGCCGTGGCTTTCGCTGTGCTTCGAGGCTCACCGGCGTTAGCTCATGGATTCATTGTTGGTAGTGAGGCTGCATAGCTGCATAGCTGCATAGACTGCGTGGAAGTACAAGGCGATAACACAGCTTTAACTAAAGCAGCAACGCGCGCACGAGCAAAATCAAAGTATCAAAGTGCCTCATGACAGCACAGCACCAGAGTCATAGAGTCATACTACATCCAAGACGGGGGGCTGACCGGTCGAGCCAGGGCCATAGCCAAGCAATGGCCAAGAATGGGTGGTGGGGATGGGTACCTCAGCTGGACCAGCAAAAAAGCATGGTGAGTGCTGAGGATGCCTTGAGGTCTAAGGTGCCCAAGGGGGCCTCAGGCTTGCGTGCGTGCACAGGTCCAGGACGTGAAGAAGTCCTGTGGCTTCGCGCCGCAAGCGCAGGGCACGCCCATGTGGGCCCACAGCTCGGCACAAGTGCGGGGAGAGAAAAGCGCAGAGACAGCCAGGCGAGCCAAGCGAGCGATCCAAATGGATCGAAGGATCCACTGATATCTAATGCATTGCTGATCATTGCTACTTTCACTTGGCAGTCGGAGACCTTCTGAGAAAAAGCTCCCCAATAAGGTGCGCAGCCGGCCGGAAGACTTGGCAGGTGGCGAGGTGCCCGGGATGAGCGACGACCTCCTGGATCAGGTCCGTGCGCCGATGTCTCAGCACCGGAGTTGGCCACAGCTTGAAGTTGAGTTGAGCAAATATTTCTAGCGCCTCTTTTGGAAGCCAGGCTCAGGAAGTGGTGATACCACGAACCAGGGCCGTAAGGAATCGTGACATCGGGTCGGGTTGAGGCGGGAGTGGCAAGCGGAAGCACATGCTACGTGGGTGCAGATCTGAAGTATAAGCTTGCAGACTAGAGTAGTCATGATAGCAAATAGAAACGATAGCAATAACAAGAACAATAGCAATAGCCACAACACCTCGAAGTCCTGCGTTCCAATTTGACATCATGCCGTTGTGGAGACATGCATGGACGAATCGTACCAGTAGCAACAACATCAATGACAAGAGAAATAGCAAAGAACAATAATAATAAGTATTTTACTTCGAACATCCCCACCCTCTCTTGCTAGAGATACTCTGGGGTTGGGCACTCCAGCAACATTCTGGGGCTGGGCACTCGAGGGAGACTCTGGTTGGGGTTGGGCACTCCCGGGAGACTCTGGAACTGGGCACTGCGGGGACACTCGGGGGTTGGGCACTAGGGAGACTCTGGGGTTGGGCCTCTGGTGGTGGGCACTCCAGGGAGACTCTGGCCTGGGGCTGGGCACTCCGGAAACACTCTGGAGGTTGGGCACCCTAGGAAGACTCTGGGCTTGGACTGCACTCTAGAGTTGGGCACTCCAGGACACTTTGGGCTTGGGCAGTCCAGGGATGAGCGAGGAGTAGACCGGGGGAGGAGAAGAGCTCCGGGCGAGGAGAAGAGCTGAGTTTAAAATCTAACAACCCCACACCGAGGGTGAGGAAAAACAAAAAGGAAAAATAATAATAAGAATAATAATAGCATTCAAGCATCTTTTATTAAGTTGGTAATCGTAATCGCAATGATGAAAGCAGTTCCCGGAAGGGTGGTAACAAAGATGACACTAGTAATAATCGTAATAGTAACATTGCTGATCGTATTGGTCACATCCATAATCATCATCATCATCATCATCATCATCATCATCATCATCATCATCATCATCATCATCTTTTTCTTCCAACGCAGCTGGGAGTGCGAAAGACGGTCCAGCTAGCGAGCGCCCCTCAAGATGACTTCTGCATCTCGGCTGCTCAAGGCAGCTAGCACTAGTGCCCTTTCGGCAGGAACCTCGCGCCGTAGCGCCTTGCAGGCCGTAGCCCAAAAGTTGGATTAAAGAGAAGTTGTTCTAGCGTGGATGCTCTCAGTTGTCTCAAACTGTCTGCTGCGCACTTCCACTGACGGAGGAGAGAAGGAGGATGTACATGTTACATGATGCATGCTCCTCATCATCCTCCTCATCACCATCATCACCATCATCATCATCATCCTCATCATCCTCATCATCATCCTCCTCATCACCATCATCACCATCATCACCATCATCATCATCGTCCTCCTCATCATCATCATCATCATCCTCACACTGCTATACTACTTCCACACTGTGTCCAGCAACTAAGGCCTGGTGGATCATTGGAAGAAAAGCTCGAGGCGGTCATCGACGTCTTCCGGTCCAGTCAGCGGCACCTCGAGAGCTGCCGCGAGGCACTGAGGCCGGATGTGACGGATTGGGATTGGATGTCATGAGGGTCGGCACACATATCATGACGCTTTTCGAGCTTCTCCGGCGTTCTTGTTGTCATGGGCCATGTTGCCAGAGGCAGCAGGCGCTAGAGAGGCACGGTCCCCGGAGCGCAGTAGACTCAGTAGGTGGTGGCAGACGGACGGACGGAGTGCCCTCGCGAACTCAGAGAAAATTCTCTGCAATTCCCACTCTGCCACAGGCGCCGCTCGGAGGGCCGAGAGCGCTTTCCAGCGGAGGTCGAGGAGGCCCTGCACTTTGTGTGCTTTGTTTGAATTTGCCTTTGCGAATCTGACTCGCAAGTGTCATCCTTGGGCACCCTTGGCAGGTCATCTCCGGAGGTACGTATCTTGACTCATTCCTGGAGGCTGCAACTGAGATGTAAAGTCGGAAATCGGAGACTTGCCGACACCAATAAGAGGCCTATGATGGCCAGAGGTTCCTGCTCCACAGCGAGGACTGGCACTTGTGCGTGCCAGCTCATCGAAGAAGGAATTTGCGGGATAGCTGCTCATTTTGCACACTTGCTTTCACATAGATTGACTTCAGGAGATCGTGCCTTGTCAGCCTCCCAGACAAAGTCTCACACGACCGAGATAGGAGAGAGAAGAGAGACGCTCAGCGCGCTTTCCTTCCGGCAGTGACATCGTGGTCCCGGATACCGGGGCGGGCGCTGAAGGGGGCTTGCCCCCATATCCGAGAAAGGAAGAAAAAGAGGAGAGAGGGAGGGATACACGCACAAGCTCAAAAATGTGCTGCTTATGACACTAGGATCTCTATTGCCTGTTGGGAAATTCGCACGTGCGATGTTCCACACGCCTCTTTCGGGGCTGCAGTGCTCTGCAACAAACCTAAACCACCTTCGCGCTTGCGGATGTGGGTGTGCTGGTGATGGGTATACAGGGTACAGGTCACGTCTGTCCGGCTCGAAAGCGCGAAGTCCGAATCCTCTCATAAACTCTCAGACTCCGCGGCTTGTCTAGGTTCAGTTCGTCGTCACGACTGCTCGTTTTAACCCTGTAGATCCCGACATGTCGCTTCCCCCTCCAGAGTTTGACGCGGGTCCTTTGCGGCGCTTCAACAACATCTTGTCCTCTGCGCGGTGCGGTGCCCAGGTCACGAGTACCGGCTCGGCCTGGAGGCATGGACTGTTCACGCTGCTCTTTGGGAAACTTGTGTACTCACGTGCACTCTGCGTGCTGCGAGGTGAACTCCGGCGGCGCGTACTGGAAGGGCATCTCCATCCAGGCCCCTCTGCATCCATGGTGCACCTAACGGGTGACCCACGAGCGTCTGCCATCAATCTGGGTGCTGCGAAGTCATGCGACCTTCTGACCTTCTAAGCAAAAGATCCCATGAGCGGAAAGGAGGCTGCTGTGCGCCACGACGTGCAGGCGGTGGCTGGTGCCAGCGGCCTGGAAGGCCGTGGAAGCACCTAACTTCCCAAACTCCCTGAAGCCCAGAACCCGAGAAGGGGCTCCTGATCCGGGCTCTGGGTTTGAGGCTCCATGAATATCATCTCGCAGTTTGGCGCCGCACAGCGCGGTGCTGCCTGGCCCCAAGCTCTCTACCAGACTCTACCATTGCCTTCTCCACCTGCTCGACACGTACAACTGCGACTTCCAGACCCGCACAGCTGCGAAGATGCCCGACAGCTCTTGTTTTGAACGTCTTGACCGTCTTGCAGTACTGAACAGCTTCAAGGACAACGGAGCACACCGTGGAATCCACAACACACCCCAAACGGCAAGCAGCAAAGCACATGCACCATATGACCGACATGGTGACCTGAACCACTTTTCTCAGGTTTTCTCTTGGCGATGGCAGCACGTTCTGGACGCTGGTCCCTACAACCTGCCCGAATGGCTTGCGGGCAGCTAAGCCGTACAATCAGCATTACAATGTCTGTCGGCAAAGAGAAGCTGGATGGCACAAGATGGTACAGGAATGTCTAGGAGTGAGCACCGGGGGCACGTGTTCAGGCCAAAGCCCTGGCAGCGGAAGGCGCGGGAACCGTTCTCCAAGTCTTTTTGCATGTCTCACTCCCAATCCATTGCCTGTGCGTCTTTCAAAAGCAGGATGGTACTCGTAGATGACAGCATGATGCAGTACAGGATGGTAGTTATACCTAAGCAGTTGAGTGAAGCATGAAGGTAAATGTATCCAAGATTTCCCAGATCTTCCAAAGTCTTCAGCTAAAGGGTTGTTCCCTTATCATAAACACTAGGAACGTACCTTCCCCAAAAAAGAGAATTTTCAATTAGAGGTTCGCTAAGGAATGGTAAGAACCTTCAAGTCCAAAGAAGAAGCCATAAAATCAAGGCTTACAGATAAGGGCAGATGTCTGAATTAAGGGGCGCTATGCATAAGGGAGGTTGTCTTAATGTTCCGATTGAAGGAGGTTATACTGAAATTTGAGTCGCAGCCGGGCTTGGACTTTCTGAAGCATGCATGAAAGTGACCATCCGAGAGCTACGGCAGAGGTTTTGGGATGAGTTTGACGCGAGCTTGTTGTTTTAGCAGAGACAGTGTTAGACTCCCTTGCAAGCTCCGCATCCTAAGCCTTGCACGCGTTATTTGCCTTTTTTTGTTGTTAAATCTTTTCCAGAAAAAAGAACAAACTATTGCGCGTCGCCTTTGATTCGGTTCTGATCTGCCGGCCAGGAGTTACCGAAGAAGTCCAAGAAGCAATTCTTGAGATCAGGGCTTGTGCCAACCTTTCTTGGAATGTTGCTCTGCGCGGGTATGATTTTGTTGCTTTTCCTGTTCAGTTTTTGTGCGCGTGCGTACACTTCTATGAACTTACCTCCCTTAGATTTTGCATCTCTTCGTTACGACATCCTGCCTGAATTAAAGAGGGAATACACCTTCATTCTCAATTCACGACTTTTGGAAGATCTGGGATAAATATAAATGTAATGTGTACATATATGTATATACATACATATGTATACATATTTAGCACGTAGATGAACGCATACATAATATATACGTGTGAACGCATACGTACATATATGCATATTCTACATATGTGGAACAAACCGCAGGGAAAGGGGGAGAGAGGGACTTAAGTACTAAGTTCATTAGTTTAACCCCCGAAGCAATCATGAAGTAGTCCCCACCCCCTAAGTTCAAAGGGCGCATGATTGGAGATGAATTTCCTTGACGAAAATGCCTGTACTCCTGTACTCACACGATTAACGGACCCTTGAACTTCAATCTTCGAGTCTTATAGGGCTTCAAAACACGTAAGCTGTCGTGGATTCTCTTCCAAGATTCCTGGCCTTTTCAACGGTAGAGCTTAATTGAGAATTATACTTCAATTTCGAATTTCGACAGGCATGAAGAGGCAAAACCTTTTCGCTGGTAGAACTTCCTGAAGAATCATATTATGCCAGCGTCGTCGACCCCAAACAGTAATGCACGAAAGCATGTCAAGTTCTCCAGACACGAGCTCCAGCAGCAGAGCACGAAAAGACCAGCACGCCAGGAGCGTTTGTCAGGGAGAGCAGACATTACCGACGGTCTGCAGTTCCCTCAACATGCCCCAGGGGGTCGAAAGAACGAAAACTTTGATGCCACGGGGCTTACAAACAGTGAATAATACAATATTATTATGTAATAATATACACGTGGCTCAGCAGCTGCCGTTGGTTCTTTCCATGCGGTGTTGGTTCACGGGCAAAGCCGCTTTCTTTCAGATCAGCGGCTCAGCCGCTTTAGCTTTACTCAGGCGCTGTCTCTTCAATCAGCGGCTCAGCCGCTTTGTTGTTGGATCAGCGGCTCAGCCGCTTTCATTTTTTGATCAGCACCGCTTTCTGATGCATGGATCAACCGCTCAGCTTTCTTGTGGATCAGCGGCTCGGCGGCTTACTGCTGGATCAGCGGCTCCCAGCCCGCTTTCTGTTGGATCAGCGGCTCAGCCGCTTCTTGTGGAACAGCGAGATGTGCTGAAAGAAACTGATCGTCATTTCATACTGTTTTTATTTTCCCATACAGAAAGAACTCAGTATGGGAAGATGAAAAACAGTATGAAGTGCCTGATCCGCTTGCACATTCTTGTAATAGCGGTGAGTCAAATCCATCCTCCAGCCCTCACTGAGGCCTCCAAGGCAGGGCTCAGTGCATCCAGCGCCGCCACGACTGCTGCGCCGGTGTCGCTGAGATCGCAAATGCGGACCGGCAGCGACGAGTCTGGAAAGGCTGCCGAGCGAGACCGGCTTTGGAAAGAAGCCCAGGCCTTGAGGAATAAGAAAGTTCAGCTGGCCATCATGAAGAGCAAGGGCGCGTGGGCCGCTGTCTATGGGAAAAGCTCAGCGAGAAGTTTCTATTTGGCAGCTTGAACTCCCAACAGCTCCCGCGGCATGACTTGTGAGGGGAGCAATTGGAGGGCGACAGGCAGGCTTCCAAACAAGCCTGGCGCAAAGCGCCGTGCTAATCCGGTTCCTGAGGGGGACGCAGCAGAAGCAGCAAGCGACTGAGTCCTAGCCTGCTACCTGCGAGGGTCGGAGTCAAAGCTGACATCAGATCCAGCAAAACAGCTCGCCTCATCTTTGGCCAGAACCTAAGGCCGTACTGTGTGGGAATTGGTGACGTACAATACGGGGGCAGATTTTCGAAAATCTGCCCCCGTGTTGCGTGTGAACCCATAACATGGAATACGCTCCTAACGCAGCAGAAGCGAAAGCAGTCTCCTGGGACTGCTGCGGCTGCGGCAGTCCCAGCAAAGAAAGCCGCCGCTCCTAAAGCGTCTTGCTGAAGGGTGTCCAAGCCGAGTTGCCTGCCTGGAGCCTGCAGTCCAAGCGCACGGACGCCAAGGGAATCCTGAAGAACATTGTTCCTTGGGTCTCTTGGCAGCCGCCAGAGCAGCCGGGACACAATGTGGAGCTCAGGTCCGCGCGCCTCAAGTCGAGGCAGCCAAGGTGTGTCCGCACTGCCCTCAAGGACATTTCCTCTCTGAGCGTTGGCCGGCAGCAGCAAGCTAGTTGTCCAATTTCAAGGAGATCTGGATGCCTCGGAATGCAGCCATGTCCTGAAAGACGTCCCGCATGTACGAGGCGGGCGGCAGATTGTACTGGCTGGACACGATTGTCAGGGCCAAAGCCGGAGAACTGGACAGTTTTGGCCCGTTCAGTTCTTTCAAAGCCCACTTGCGTTGCCGGACCGGGCCGCCTGGGCGAGACAGAAGCCTGCCTGCGGCCCCAGAACAATCAACGCCCCAGCGCAGCAGACAAGAGCGGCTGCTGCACAAATAATATATATATATATATGGCTGGAAGGTCATTAGCTGTTGCTCGGGCGCTGTGTAAATAGCCGGTGTGCTCATCAGTCATGGGCTGCTGCTCCGCAAATCGCTGGCGCAGGAGCCGGTGTCATTTCCGTATATGCAACGCCGGCAAAACTCAAACAGCTATCGGGCACTTGCGATGGTACGTCCCAGTTTTTCAAGCAGTTAGAACAGGCGTGTGTCTATATACGCAACTGGCTGTCAGCAGTCTTCATATTTGCTTATGAGGACATGGCCCACATACAGCAAGCAATAGCAGACAAAAAGTCGATGCAGACTGCAAGCAGGCAAGTTCCGCCAGTGCCAAAGCTGAAAGTGCAGCGAAGGTCCCCCGCCCCCAGCCCAAGCAGTCAAGGAGAGCGGGCCGGAGGCAAAGAAGGAGGAGGCAGAGGACGCAGAGGCGGCCCGCTCAGTTCTTGCAGAGGCCACTTACGTTGCCAGCGCCGCCCGGGCCGCCTGGACCAGACAGGAGCCCCAAAGGCCGATTCCAATCAAGCCGTCGCAGCTGGAGAAGATCCAGATGCTCCAAAAGTCTAACCTAACCAAACTTCCGCTTCGCAAAATTTCCAAATATAGGTTCTTTTTTTGAGAGGCGAAGGCCCTAAACGTTTGAAGTCTTTAAACACTGCGCTGCTGAGCCGTGTTTTTGGCTTGTTTGATTGCTGAAGGCCCACGCGTAATGTGGATGTGAATACTTGTATCGGCGTGCGCAAGCTTATAAGCAGGTGTTACGCATGGTCAAATTTGGCCATGGCCAGTTTTAATTCTCCTGGAAGAAGTATGTGTGCAGCTCATGCTTGGTGCGGGCATCGATCTGCGCATGGAATTTCGCCACATTTCCGCGAGTCTTGAGGAGATAGTGGGCAAGATAACTGCTTCAGTGTGGCCTTCAGAGCGTACAGCTTCCTGCGCAAGCTAAATGTTGTACTGTGGAGAGATTTATTCTAACCGGAGCTTGAGACTGGCTCAGCTGGTTGCCAAGCATGACTTGCGGTGTCTCCGCGTCGACCCTTGGAAGGCTGCTACCCGAAAGCATTTCTGTTGCGCGATCGCAGATACAAAAAGCTGTTATGTAACTGGGCACAAAAACAAACGAAAAGTCGTTTAGTGCAACATGCGCGCGCAAGGGCTTCGATCTGCACGTGACATGCTGCTGCATTTTAAAATATTGTGAGTGAAGGTGTTGTGTTGCCAACGCTTCCAGGCGGAAATCCATAAAGTCCATGATTTTTTTCAGAATATGTTCCGGCCGGGTCACATCGAGGATGACGCCTAAGAATTTACGATGAGTACACATATCACTCTTAATGCTCATATCCTTCGGGCCGTTTATGATCCTATTGTTCATACTGCTTATATGGCTCACAAGTTTCATAATATCACTGTAGGAATAGTCATCATTTTTAGCTTTAGGTATAATACTATTGATAGAATGAACGAAGCGGATGTCATCACTCATTTTGTTATAGTTACAAACAAATGTCAACGGGTAATGTGCCTAGAATGCATGTATACATATACACATATTCATCAATTGAAAAATAGATAAATAAATAAATATAAATATATATATACATATATATATATATACTTTATAGTATATATATATATATATTGCTTTGATTACATTCAGTATGTGATTTGCTGATGGGTGGCCATGAAAAACACAGCTCATGTAGCCAATGTAATTGTAAACGCTTGCGCGCGCCGCCTCGGCAGCCAGGCCGGCCCAGAGCATGCAGCATGTGGAGATGAGTGCAGGGGAGGGTGGGGCGGGGGTGGGGGGGTTGGGGGAGGGGGGAAAACCCAGCTGCTCCGCGATCGGGCGGGCGGGGGGGGGGGGGGGGGGGTGGCATTTCTGCATGGAGGGAGGGGTTAGGTTAGGGGGAAGGAGACCGGATCCGGGTCTGCTTGTTCCAAACGCTTCTCGGCAGGAAGCCGAGGCGAACTCAGGCCTTAGTTGTATAAAATAGCATCATTTCGCTCCAGTTCCCCGGCCTTCGCCCCCCTATGAATATGTCATTAAGCGAAAAACGAATGTAACAATAGTTTAATTCTCACGATGTACGCAAACATCGTTTGCTTTTTGCATGCCTCAGCCGTCCCTGGGAACACACGAAGTACGAAAATGAATAGCATGATCAAGCCCAGTCCTAGTCCCCTATTGAATCACCTACCCCCGTGTAGGTATGACCCGATTTTTCCGAACAATCAACAGCGTTCATACCGAATATGTTTAAGCAAACAGTAGTAGACTGATTTTGTGTAATCTCTACGGAGCTTATTGGTGAGAAGTAATCTAATTTGTCGCAATTAATCATATTCACGGCCCCCTTAACTTCACTTGCCGTCCTCCCAAAACTACATCACAAACTTAATGAGAGCAATGTATAGTTAAGATTCTGAACAATTGTATTGCATCTCGGCTAGGACAGTCGTAATCCTTTGTATTGCCTCGTTTGTGTACAAAAAGTCGTTGTTATTAAGGATTAATGAGCATTATTAAACAATTGCTAATATGTTGCTCCATTTATGCGTTGAGCTGGGGAAGGGAATGTACTACGGCCAGGAACACGGCATTTGTTCAGGGGTCTCGCGGGAACCACCAGAATCGTTCAGCAGAGCAAAGTACGCACAAATAAACCGATTGCGGGTCCTCCGTGGGTGGGGGGGGGGGGGCGACCCTCTACAATATATCCTATGTTTCTATCTATGTGCATGTATGTATGTATATATGTATACTCTATGAGAACTCCTCCTCCTGCTCCTCCGTGCGGAGGCAGCGACCCGCTGCGGAAGCTGCAGGCGGAGTTGGAGCAAGTGAGGCGCTGGGAGCACCAGGCAGGAGAGGGGCACGCGAACGAGGGGTTCCGGGTAGACATGTTTTTGTAAGCACCAACAGTGAAAAGACCATGAGGACACAAGAGCATGCCGATGGATCAAGAGCCCGCCAAAAAACACCAAGCGCCCAGACGCCCAAAAGCAACGACAGTTTTTGCATTTGGCGAACAGAAACACCAAAAAGCGACGGCAGTCTCACATGTGGTGCACACAGGCAGGCGTCCCAAAACGACGACCGCCTCGCGATTGGTGAACCCAGCAGCCAAAACACGATGACCGTATCGAGGATGGTGGCCGTGGCTATGGCCCGCGACTCGGGAGAGCGCGAGCTCCCTCCAAAATGCGAGCAACCTTCGCGAAGCACGCAAGTCCAGGGTCGCTTGCACCGCACGCCGCACTCGATCTAGCCTTTCTATATTATTCTGAACGCGGGAACCCTTAGTGTTGGCACACTGTTTTGGGTATATATATATATACACATATGTATATGTGTGTTTCCAGTACAGGTTCGATTTATAGGGCTTAGGGAAACCCCACGTTTGGTGATGTGGGAGGTTTGGGGCCAGGGTTTCTTCGCAGCTTTTCAGGGCTTGGGTTGCTTGCGAGGGGTATGGGGGGTCCCCCTGTACGAATGATGTCCCTAGCAGGAGCACACTGTGGCATTTCAAAGCAATGAATGCTGACTCCTGTTTGCAAGGCTGCTGGTTCTAGCCCAATTCCAGCCCATGCTTGGGATTGGCCATTGGATGGCCAGAGAGAGAGAGATAGAGAGAGAGGTGCAGCAGGATACCTGCAAGTACATCAAAAACAACAACGAGGTCAAGGACCCCGATATGCAAATTCCGAAGATTTGCGCAGTGCTGGCAGCAGTGCCTCTGCAGGATATCTACATTCGGGAGGCCACTGGAAGGATGTTGTGCTGTTGGGAGTGTTGCTAGAAGGCAAGTCGAGCTGCGATTCTTCTTCTGCGCTCCCTTAGTTTGCTGCGGACGTTGTTATTTTCCGCGGAAGGCGCAGTCGAGGTAAATAGTATATTTGCGCGGAAGGGTTCGTGGAAGGCAAGGTTCACATGAAAATGAGTAGCTCCCAGTACCAGGAGTGATTGTGTAGTTATGTACTTGTAAAATGACGGAGAAAAGTGGTGGTTTGGGGCTTGGCTCATGCCGGGAACTGCGCAACTTCGCACATCGAATTCGTGAAGCGATGTCTGTCATGTGTGAATTTTCTTGTGCGACATCTGCTATGCCCCTGCCAGCAGCAGCATTATACCGTTATGCGAAAGAACCTTTGATTTTTCAGAGTGGAAGACCTAGGAAATGCTGGCCATATGTCTGGGTTCGCCCCGCCCTTCGACGCCACCGCGTAGCAAGCAATGCCAGACGAAGCGAAGCCATGTTTGTGTTGTATGAGGCAAAGAGCACCAAAGAAAAGGCAAACAAACTGATTCTGAGGCCAGGCACATTTGCGTGGCATCTCTGGCAGGGACGTGGGCCACCCCAACCCCCCCACTCCTCAGTAGTTGGAGCAGCAGCCGGAGTTTAGAGGAAGAGGGCGTGTGGCAACGAACCCACCTCCTGCGCGTAAGGTTAGATAGTTCATTACTGCACGATTTTCGAATCCAGTTTCGGAGGGCGGAAATCTGCAGAAGGCCTCCCCAACACAAACCTTAATTTGCAGGCCCCTCCTCCGCCGGCACCCTCCCCCCTCTCCGCCTCCTCCACCCCCCCCCCTCGCCCCTCCCCCGCGTGCAGGGCCTTGGCTAGGCGTGTTATGGACATGTGCCTTTTGCTTCGTCTACGACATGGGACGTGCCTCAGCGCTTGCTGCTCCACTTGTCGAAACAGGTCCTGAGACTTTGGCCATCTGAGACAGACCATCAGGGGCTTGAGGTGCCAAGCCGACAATGGAAAGTCAGCCAAAGCCGTAGGTTCTGCAGCCACTCTGGCTTTGATCTCTCGAGAGGTCTGCAAGAAGTGTGCGTGGGTACTTTACTCGGCATCTATTGGTTGTCTTTTGGTTGTCGTGCGTGTGGCGACTTGTTGCGTCTGTCAGCGCTTGTGTTGTGAGGTGGAAGGCCTCGATGCGACGCTTTTTGCAAAGTCCTCAGATTGGAGTGGCAGCCATTGGTAGTCCAGGACGTTACTTTGCCTTAAGCTAATCTTCCCAGTTGTGAGAGTTTCACTGAGACATCTCGCAACATTCTGGTGCAGCGGGTTCCTTACGACAGCAGCCATGCTCTGGCGCTTCATGCCTGCATCGCACGCCGCCAAGTGGACGAGAAGGACAAGGTGCGAGTCGCGCGAGAAGGGTTCTTTCCAAGCAAGAATCGGCAGCAGTCAGGAGCAGAGCCCCCCTTATCGGCTTATCACAACATGGGCGCGGGATCCTCAGACTTGATTTCGTCTTACTGCCCTCAGTGTCTTCTGCACATTCTCAGCTCAGTTTGGCGAGGTGGGTCCAAGAGCCTCACGGGCAGCCTAACGGACATGGACATGGAGAGAAGAATGCACCGCTTGTTGCAAACACCTCAGTTTGACGCCTTATTGCTTCCAATGCCAGCGCATGCGACACTTTTCGAGGTCAAACCGGCCGATGCCCCACCATCCAGGACAAGTGAGGCCTGTGGAGTCATCTTATCCACAGTTTCCTCAGTTCTCGCCTGGCTTCTGCAACCGTTCTGGGATCGATGAGAGCGTCTTCCTTTCTTCCTTTAACCAGATATCTATATCATATATATATATACACATATATATATATGGTCGCCCCCCCATGATCTACCGTGACATGTTTTCCGCCTAAAACCCTCTTAAAACCGAGCAAACACCATGCTTCCACTAATATTTCCTTTACATACCAAAGCCTTTTTCTTGTAGTTGATTTCTCCGATAACCACAAAGAAACCAAACAAGCAAAAACAAAACAAACAAAAAACCAAAGCCATGGAGGCCGGGAGGCCTTTTTTTTGGTGTTCTCTGGGTCACCCCCCCCCCCCCCCAAAAAAAAAAAAAAAAAAAAGACTCACGTGGTTTTGGTTTTCGAGTATGAGGGATTCGGAAAACCAAAAACATCCATGGGTTTTTTGTTTTTGGATGAAGACTCGAAAACCAAAAAAACACATGTTTTTTTGGTTTTGACAAAAACCCCCAAAAAATGCCTCGAGAAAACCAACAAATATAAAAAGAAAACGCATCCTGGGCTCCATGGCTTTGTTTTTTTTCTTTTTTGGGAGTCCCCGTGTAACTGAAGTTGAAACCCTTCGGCTCGAGAGGTCTTTAGGGTTTATAGGGTTTAAGGTTTAGGGTTTAGGGTTTAGGGTTTAGGGTCTATTTCTACGACTATTATTGTTCTTCTTCTTCTTATGAATATTCTTCTTCTTGTTATTATCATTATTGTTACTATTATTGTTGATATGTTTCTTCTTACAATTTCTTCTTACCATTATTAACATTATGTTTATTCTCAGTACCATTGTTTATTAGTATAATTATTTTTCTGTTATTATTCCCATTAACATTCATATGTGTATTCCTATTCATATTGTTGTATCACGATTGCCAACTTTGTATATCATACTTCTGTGCATGCAAGGCCCCCCCCCCCGCCCTCTCTCCCAGACCCACCGCGGATCATGGTGGGGGGGGGGTGAGTATACATATATACATATACACACATGTACATGTTTCAGCTTCGACGTCGATGTGCCCTCTTCATGGATGGAGCTGGGAAGGTGCAAAACAAAAGCGTCCCTGGGAATCCAAGCGATGCGGCAGTCAGTCAGACTGGGCCTCGGGATCCCTGAAAACTGAAATCCTCTCTGAAGCGTTTCTCAGCAATTCTCAGCTCCCTGTGCCACCGCTAATTCCAGGACTTCCTTGAGCATTCCGTGCGAGAAAACGCGGCCGAGTTCGGCAAATGCCTTGCCCTGTGCCAAGAATGCTGGCGATGCGTTGAAAGTGCATGGCATCCACGCGTCTTGCTGCGTCTTGGAGTTGATCCGTGCCATATCGTGGTTGGTGATGGCCAGGCAGGGTGCCATTCCGGGTCTTCCCAACGGCGCCACAAGCGCGCCCCACACTCAGTGGATCCTGGGGGCACAGCTGCCATTTGGGGGAGTGGGCGATTCCTACCGCAGCGTATCAGTATCGCTATGTATCGCTATGCAGGCCCGGGAGCCAGAGGCCTGGAACTCAGCCATTCCTGCACAACGTTACAACGTTCCGAATCTGACGGATCTGCTGCAAGCACGCGCAGCTGAGTCTGATGATGTCTGCTGGTACTGTAGGGGTTCTGTGCAATGCATGGCGGGCAACTCCGTTGACCAACAAAAACATGCAGACCATCCCATCCTTAACATGTTTAAGCAAGTTGAAGCTCTACGATAGAGGCAGCGCAGATGTCTCCTGTTGTCTCCTGATGCTACTCGCAATTTAATCTGTGGCCTGCACGAAGCTTGTGCCGGCCAGCTTGTGTTTCAACATGTTTAGCCGAGGTCGTGTGCCTACTTTTACGCACGCCCGAGCACGAGCCTGCAGGAGCCCGAGAGCCACAGCAACCTTCCAGAAGCTTTGAGAGATGCTACAACCCCCAGACCACCCTCCGAGACACAGATTATTCTATCCCTTCCGATATACGTATACACACACATATATATATATATGTATATATACATATATATGCATATATACATAATACATATATATATATATATGTATGATCATCCCCGCATCACAAGCAATGGGAGTAACCTTATATTGACTGTATGTATGTGTACGCGTTGTGCATGTCGTTCATAAGAATTGCATGCATATCTAAAACCATCATGTTTCCACTAGATTACTGCAAAGAGCCTCTAGGGAAGTACCCGTAACCCTCCCCAAGTTTCAAACGATGCGTAAATCTAAACATATTCATTGCGGGTAGAGAAGAGTGGAACTCGGTCAATGGAATTCTCCAATCATTCTTTAATCAACCCACTTCAAAAGTTACATATCATTTTTGGAGGGAAACCTATATCTAATTCGTAAGGGTAATTAGAGTCGTGCAAGTTCTACTCTATTCTATTCTATTCTATTCTGTTCTATTCACTTTACGAATACTAGTTAGTGTTTTGGCGCGACCGTTGTCCCAGTAGCTATGCTTCATTCTCTTCCAATCTTCCGGGCCATTCAAAGAATGAAAGTAGTAGTCCGAACAGTTTGCCTTGGTAACTTGGGTGGGCTGCCGATATGCGCGAGCTTTCAACTAGTAAAAGTTATTTAAGAGTTGAATGTGAACTCCAACTCTGTTAACCAACCCAATTCAAGCGTTCACATTTCAACTTCTGGAACAAATAGCCCATACATGAATGAGATCGTTGTTTACTTCCACGAATATATAGCCTCGAGTATACACACCTTGATTTTTTCTTGCTTTGGCACATCGGTTGTCCCAATAGGTGGCTTTCATTCTCTTTCCAATTTTCCTGGCCATATGCGTCTTGCCACGCCGAAGTCGGGAGAATGCAAATCTGGACTGGCGTCGGGCCTTGCTCCACTGCTCAGGTGGCACACGTGCTCGCCCTTAACTAAATAGCTGTATGCTGGCGCACGTGATTTTGCGAAGCCTGGACATTCGGGTGATTTGGCACGGTCTCGCCCCTGAATTTCAATGGGCTTGCTTCTCTAAACAGTCCCCACTTGCGAGCACTCACTTCCACACCTCTGCGGAGTTGCTTCTGTGGTCGTCGGCTCTCTGCAACATAGTCAGCTTAGAATGTTCCCTCCCCATCGATAGTTTTGCTGTGCTAGCTCTTGATGGTGTACTTGCGCTGGGGGGGATACCCTTCAGCACGTTCAACCTTCCATCAGGAATTTGCCTAGTTCATTCATACAGGCAGACGCAAAGTTAGTAAGCCTCATGTGTGTCTCAGGTTAGCGGCCGGCTACCCCAACGTTTCGGCCGGGATGCAAGCACTTGGCAGTGCCAATGCTTGCGCCAGCGAAGCTAAGGCCCCTGTGTCGGTGCCAACTCCCATGGCGCCCTTGGCCCCCTTGGCCCCCCTGGCGCCGGCGGTGGCCCCGTCGCTTGCGCCAGCAGTGGCTCCTCCGCTGGCACCGGCAGTCGCCCCCCCGCTGGCGCCAGCAGTGGCCCCGCCCTTGGCCACCAAAGCACCCGGGGCGATTGCAGGCCGCGACCTCGTTTCTGTGTGTGCCAAGTGCCTATATGCAAAGATCTTTCGCGAGTGCTGCAAGGCCCACAACCCTCGAAAGCCCCGAAGGTCTGGCTCTGCCTCGACCTCGGGGGTGGTTGAATCCTGTGTTCTTCACAGCTCCGTCTTCCTGTAGCCAAAGGTGCTCCCTCACAGCTGGGAACCGTCGGTGCGGTCCTTCGCTGACGGGTCAGGGAATTCAGGGCATGGCTTTCTTTGGTGCCTCGTGGCCCGCAAACCACAAGGCATCGAGGACGTTTCACCAAAAACAGGATAAGAGGGGAGATTGTTGTCGCCTTGCCGTGCGACGCGCTCTGAGCAAAGACAGGTTTACGAAAATCCGATGCGCAGATTCCGATGCAGACGTCCGGTTGAGCCCAGAAACATGTTCGTAATCTGTGGCATTGTAAAGCCATCCGACAGGGCTGGCTCGCGCGCAGCAGGGTCCCCCCCTCTGCCTCGCATTGCTGCGCCATGGCGGCCAAGGCGCTTGGCCTAGTCCTCCTGGGCACTTGGGCCATCGCAGCCCAGGGCCAGTGGCCGGGATGCAGAGAGCAAAGAGAGGGGGGGGGGGCGGTGCGGGGGGCGCAGCACTGTGAGAAAAGATGAGAAAAGCATGGCGCAGCAGGTGTCTTGAGATGTCTTGAGATGTCTTAAGCCTTTCCCCGAGGTGCGACTGCAGCCCATGCCAAGACTACCCGGAAGATGACTTTTCGCACCCTTGCTTCGACGACTGCGTTGTTACCGGTGACCCGCACGTGGAGAAGAGCTGGCGTCCAGGATACGAGGACGGCTTCGACTTCCAGCCGCAAGGTATCTGGCGCCTGGCCAAGACGGACACCTGCGGTGGCACTGTGGAGGTCCAGGCCTTCTTCTGCCACTACTTCTTCAGCCGAATGAGTTCCTCGAGACAATATGAATCCCTCAAGCTGTGTCTGTCTGCGAAGTCTGCTTACCCGCTTTAGCTGCTTTAGCTGCTTTAGCTGCTTTGGCCCCATCCAAACCAACACAACAAGAAGCTCTCTGAAGCTACGCACCTTTCAGGCAGCGCCATTGCGTACGCCATCAGCATCAACGGCGGCGACAAGTACATCATCAAGAAGGTCGGGGAAGAGTTCCAGGTGGGCAGCCCAAATGTGCAGACCATGAACTACAGCTTCGACGTGACCAAAGACCCTGTGGCTGGGAAGCTCCTGGTCAGCAACGACAAGTGCGTGCGCATCAAGATGAACACCGTGAACCTCTACGGTGGAACGAGGACACGATTCCTTGAGGACCCTTACCTCAACAACATCTTTATGCACGTCTGGGGCTGCGCCACAAAGAAGGAGGAAGGCGGAGGCATCTGCGGTGCTCCGAACCTCGAACCGACCATATATGTGTATATATCATCAATTTGTATTCCATATTGTTATATACAGTGTCCCTCTATCCGCTCTATCCGCTCTTCGGCTCTTCGGCTCTTCGCTTCGCCAAGGAAGCTGTCGAAGGAGTGGATCGATCCCGAGAGCGATGAGAACCTCTTCAAGACACCCGAACAGCCTGGGCTGTGGAAGGATCTCTGCGAGTTCTGTCAGGACAAAGGCCCGTGGCCCAGCATCATGGCCCCATCTGAAAACCAGCGTACCAGCGTTTCGAGCATTGCCAGGTGAGGCCATCACGCCCCCGGGCTGCCCAGCGCCACAGGGCGCGGGCGGTGGCAGCGAGCCTGGCTGCGAGTTCCTGAGGCGCAAGTCCACGCTCTTACTTTACGTGCCTGGAAGCATCTGCGGGCCAAAGAGACCACGAAAGCCATCGCAAGCTCAATCAAGCTTAGCGACGTAGTGTAATCGTGCGGCCATATCGCCATGATGCTGTCATGCTCACGACGCCGCACGTGACCGCTTGCCCATTTTTTGTTGTCCTGCAGGCCGTACGGCAGCAAGCGGGACACGGAGTGCGCCATACAGCCGAACCCAACCGGTGACCCGGAGATCGAGGCCAACAACGCCCGTATCCGCGAGCTGCAGGGTGAGAGCCGTGAGAACTGCGCATCTTGCCGGAGATATGTCACGCACGCTTCGCCCTCTGCAGGAAGCTGGGGCCAGGCTCCTGTAGAGATTGCACCGAGCGAGAGATTGCTGCCGTCTTGCCGCCTTTTCAGCTCAGGTGGCTTTTGCTCTTCTGAACAATGGCCCGAAGTTTCCCGGCAGGAGTTGCAGAGACTGGTGCCAGGACGGCCGCGGTGGCCCTTGCGTTTATTCAACGTTCGGCATGTATATATATATATATTGAATATAATATACATATATATATATATACATATACACACATATATATATATATGTGTGGTCTATAGGGCATCGTGGTATGTTCTGGCTATCGTTCCATCATGCCATCACGCAGCCACGGCCAGGACCGCGGCGCTGAGTGCGTGGCTGTCCGGGACGATGTCGGAGGAGGGAGGTTCCCCAGCAGCGAGAACACATGCTCCCTCACGGATGCCGACGATCCCAAAAACTTCGTTTCGGGTACAAACACGCCCAAGACCTGTGACACCGTCAGCAGAGACACTCACTGTGTCTGCAAGAAGCCCGACAACCCGGCGCGCCTTGGGATCATTTTGTTGGCGGTAGCCGGTACTTGCAGGGCCGGTAGCGTACCCCATGACATCTTGCACTGGGTATACTTAACAGCTTGTAGCACTTCTTTAGGTTCTCGTGAGCTGAAGAAGAGTGCCCCTGTCTCTTAGGCCGGGTGAGCCCGTGGAAAGGACGTGCGCGGAAGCCCGAGACGCCGCCGGCTTCCCCTTCTCGTACCTGGACTCCGCGGACCTCTGCAGAAGAGAGGCGATGTGGCTGCAGCGCGTGATCTACCCACCGAACACCGCACAGGCCACGCACGAACAGCGTCTGCTGCTGTACTGCGTCCAGGACGTGTGCGCTACAGACCCAGAAGACAGAGCAGAGGTGGCCCGCAGCTATGGGGATCGGGACCCTAACCTCAACAACAAACCCATCATCTGCAACGGCCCCTTGCTGTGCAACGTCATCTGCTCTACCCAGCTCATCCAGGATTGGGGCGACTGCGTGAACCGCTGCGAAGGCCATCGATCCATGTTGCTCCCCGTGGTCTCGCGCTATTGCAAGAAGGGGCTCTGCCCCACACTTCTGGAGGAGGTGGAGACCGTCGGCCTCCTGCAGCGCCGATCCAACCACTCACACAGCACCCTTGTCACCAGCTCCCGCCGGTACTCCGACGGCAGGAGGCGCCGGCACATGCGGCACAGGTGTCAAAACGAAGAGATGGATAAGTTATAAGGATCCATGCGAGCATTGTGTTTGCAAATGGGGGTCTGCGCCCCCCAATTTTCTCGCTGTTTTTGCCGTGCCACCTCCAGCATTTATATATATATATATGTGTATATATATATGTGTCTTTCGAAACCCATCATCCAAGTGTTTGTTCTGTTTGCAAATAGGTGGCGGGGGCTGCGCCCCCCCCAACCCCCACGCTTTCTTGAGCCGTGCAAAGCTTGCTTCAAAGCATATATGAATCGTTTTGAAGCCCATCACGCGAGCATTGTGTTTGCAAATTGGGGTGGGCTGCGCACTGCAAACCCCACCGATTTCTTTATGATTTTTTTTGAAACCCATCATGCGAGCATTGTGTTTGCAAATGGGAGTGCCCCCCCCCTCCCCCCCCCGCCCTCCCCCCCCCCGCCCCCGTAGCGTGCTTCCATGCATATGAATCTTTTGAAGCCCATCATGCGAGCATTGTGTTTGCAAATGGAGGGGGGGGGGACCCCCGGCATTTTTAAGCAAAGCTTGCTTGAAAGCATGTTGGTTTTTTTGAGACTGATCATGATCATAGATTGTAAGCTTGCTTCAAAGCAGATGAGTCTTTTTGAAGCCGTGTGCAATCATGCGAGCGTTTGCAATGCGTGGCAGTGTTTGGGATTAAAATGCTGGAATTTCCCGCGTCTGGAGCTGTGGAAAATGCTGTATCCGGAGCCTTCAAACACGCAGAAATGCTGTCTTTTTCAGCTATCCGTTTTTTTGAGGTGGCCTGGGACGAATGCTTTCTGATCTCTATCTATTCTTTTGTTGACCCTTCACCGGCGGAGGCGCCTCTACAAGGACGACGACAACGACGGCAAGGACGACGACTCGGACGATGGCAGCCGTCGCCGCAAGGATGACAATGATGACGGCAGCAGGAGGCGCAGAAAGGATGACGATGGCAAGGATGACTCGGATGATGGCAGCAGGAGGCGCCGCAAGTACGACGACGATGGCAAGGACGATGACTCCGATGATGGCAGCAGGAGGCGCCGCAAGGATGACGACGACAATGGTGACAATGGTGATGACGACGACGGTGACGATGACGATTATTCTCCGCCGGCAGAGGAGTGCTTGGATAAGGCGACCACGTGCAGCAAGCTCTGCTACGCCTTGAAGTTGGAAGGAGATGAGCTCAAGTGGTGCAAGCACAGGTGTACTGCGAAGTTTGGCAGCCAGCTGAAGCCGGGATTAGACCACTACTGCAAGGAGTGCAAGCACTTCTGCGAAGACCCCCCGGCGACGACCACCACCACGACCACCACCACCACAGAGATTACTGAGTGCCCTTTCTCCACCACCACCAAGGCTTACTTCACCACCACCCCCCGTGACGATGACGATATCAAGGATGACGATGTCAAGGATGACGACGTGGATGATGACAGTCGGAGGCGCCGCAAGGATGACGGGGATGATGGCAGTCGGAGGCGCCGCAAGGATGACGGAGATGATGGCAGTCGGAGGCGCCGCAAGGATGACGACGGCAAGGATGATGACGGGGATGATGGCAGTCGGAGGCGCCGCAAGGATGACGGAGATGATGGCAGTCGGAGGCGCCGCAAGGATGACGACGGCAAGGATGATGACGGGGATGATGGCAGTCGGAGGCGTCGCAAGGATGACGGAGATGATGGCAGTCGGAGGCGCCGCAAGGATGACGACGGCAAGGATGATGACGGGGATGATGGCAGCCGGAGGCGCCGCAAGGATGACGGAGATGATGGCAGTCGGAGGCGCCGCAAGGATGACGACGGCAAGGATGATGACGGGTATGATGGCAGCCGGAGGCGCCGCAAGGATGACGGAGATGACGGCAGTCGGAGGCGCCGCAAGGATGACGACGGGTATGATGGCAGGAGGCGCAAGGATGACGGGTATGATGGCAGTCGGAGGCGACGCAAGGACGGGGACGACTGAGGGAAGCATCGAGGGCCGTGGCGCCACGCCCTCGTGCAGCCCAAAGCCGCGAAAGCCGTTCTCGGCTGCGAGCTTGCTCATGTGGCCACTGAAGCCACGATTTGACAATTAGCAGAGGGCTAGTTTAATTTTCGCTAAGCCTGCCCATGCATGTGAGACAGCATCACGCCTGCAAGTTGTGCGAGACAGGTGGTAGTGTTTATGGTAGTGCATGGACATTGCGTGTCATCCAGTGTTGCCATCATCGCATGGAACCTCGCCTCTTGCGTTGGCAGGCTTCCCCAAAGGCCATGGCATGTATCAGCCGAGTGCTTGTAACATGCTGCGTGCCACCCCGTTTTGTTTTGCTCGGATGGGCGTCGAAGATGCCCCACGGGCGCATTTAATGGCTCTCCTCCTGCATGATCTGGAGCTGGGCAGTTGCAAAGAGGATCAAGAGTGCGGCGCTGTGCAAATCAATGTTCGCAAGCCATATACACTAAGTTTCAGCGAACAGTGTCAGCACCTTGACGGCCAGGCTGTGGCCGGCACCATCCAGTATGCAAAACTGTTACGGTACGGGTACGGTCGTTATTTAGGTCAGCATGATCAGCGTGGTCAGCACTGGCTGCGTAGGCCTGTGCACACTGTCGAGGAATGTCCACGAATGTCGCTGACCTTGCTAAACGAGAGTCCGACAGAGCTGGCTCGCGCGCCACGGACACTTGTATAGGCGAGACAGCAGGGTCCCCCCCTCTGCCTCGCATTGCTGCGCCATGGCGGCCAAGGCGCTTGGCCTAGTCCTCCTGGGCACTTGGGCCATCGCAGCCCAGGGCCAGTGGCCGGGATGCAGAGAGCAAAGAGAGGGGGGGGGGGCGGTGCGGGGGGCGCAGCACTGTGAGAAAAGATGAGAAAAGCATGGCGCAGCAGGTGTCTTGAGATGTCTTGAGATGTCTTAAGCCTTTCCCCGAGGTGCGACTGCAGCCCATGCCAAGACTACCCGGAAGATGACTTTTCGCACCCTTGCTTCGACGACTGCGTTGTTACCGGTGACCCGCACGTGGAGAAGAGCTGGCGTCCAGGATACGAGGACGGCTTCGACTTCCAGCCGCAAGGTATCTGGCGCCTGGCCAAGACGGACACCTGCGGTGGCACTGTGGAGGTCCAGGCCTTCTTCTGCCACTACTTCTTCAGCCGAATGAGTTCCTCGAGACAATATGAATCCCTCAAGCTGTGTCTGTCTGCGAAGTCTGCTTACCCGCTTTAGCTGCTTTAGCTGCTTTAGCTGCTTTGGCCCCATCCAAACCAACACAACAAGAAGCTCTCTGAAGCTACGCACCTTTCAGGCAGCGCCATTGCGTACGCCATCAGCATCAACGGCGGCGACAAGTACATCATCAAGAAGGTCGGGGAAGAGTTCCAGGTGGGCAGCCCAAATGTGCAGACCATGAACTACAGCTTCGACGTGACCAAAGACCCTGTGGCTGGGAAGCTCCTGGTCAGCAACGACAAGTGCGTGCGCATCAAGATGAACACCGTGAACCTCTACGGTGGAACGAGGACACGATTCCTTGAGGACCCTTACCTCAACAACATCTTTATGCACGTCTGGGGCTGCGCCACAAAGAAGGAGGAAGGCGGAGGCATCTGCGGTGCTCCGAACCTCGAACCGACCATATATGTGTATATATCATCAATTTGTATTCCATATTGTTATATACAGTGTCCCTCTATCCGCTCTATCCGCTCTTCGGCTCTTCGGCTCTTCGCTTCGCCCAGGAAGCTGTCGAAGGAGTGGATCGATCCCGAGAGCGATGAGAACCTCTTCAAGACACCCGAACAGCCTGGGCTGTGGAAGGATCTCTGCGAGTTCTGTCAGGACAAAGGCCCGTGGCCCAGCATCATGGCCCCATCTGAAAACCAGCGTTTCGAGCATTGCCAGGTGAGGCCATCACGCCCCCGGGCTGCCCAGCGCCACAGGGCGCGCCTGGCGGTGGCAGCGAGCCTGGCTGCGAGTTCCTGAGGCCCAAGTCCACGCTCTTTACTACTTTACGTGCCTGGAAGCATCTGCGGGCCAAAGAGACCACGAAAGCCATCGCAAGCTCAATCAAGCTTAGCGACGTAGTGTAGTCGTGCGGCCATATCGCCATGATGCTGTCATGCTCACGACGCCGCACGTGCCCGCTTGCCCATTTTTTGTTGTCCTGCAGGCCGTACGGCAGCAAGCGGGACAGGGAGTGCGCCATACAGCCGAACCCAACCGGTGACCCGAAGATCGAGGCCAACAACGCCCGTATCCGCGAGCTGCAGGGTGAGGGCCGCGAGAACTGCGCATCTTGCCGGAGATATGTCACGCACGCTTCGCCCTCTGCAGGAAGCTGGGGCCAGGCTCCTGTAGAGATTGCACCGAGCGAGAGATTGCTGCCGTCTTGCCGCCTTTTCAGCTCAGGTGGCTTTTGCTCTTCTGAACAATGGCCCGAAGTTTCCCGGCAGGAGTTGCAGAGACTGGTGCCAGGACGGCCGCGGTGGCCCTTGCGTTTATTCAACGTTCGGCATGTGTATATATATATATATATATATATATATATACATATACATATACATATACATATACATATACATATATATGTGTGGTCTATAGGGCGTCGTGGTATGTTCTGGCTATCGTTCCATCATGCCATCACGCAGCCACGGCCAGGACCGCGGCGCTGAGTGCGTGGCTGTCCGGGACGATGTCGGAGGAGGGAGGTTCCCCAGCAGTGAGAACACATGCTACCTCACGGATGCCGACCATCCCAAAAACTTCGTTTCGGGTACAAACACGCCCAAGACCTGTGACACCGTCAGCAGAGACACTCACTGCGTCTGCAAGAAGCCCGACAACCCGGCGCGCCTTGGGATCATTTTGTTGGCGGTAGCCGGTACTTGCAGGGCCGGTAGCGTACCCCATGACATCTTGCACTGGGTATACTTAACAGCTTGTAGCACTTCTTTAGGTTCTCGTGAGCTGAAGAAGAGTGCCCCTGTCTCTTAGGCCGGGTGAGCCCGTGGAAAGGACGTGCGCGGAAGCCCGAGACGCCGCCGGCTTCCCCTTCTCGTACCTGGACTCCGCGGACCTCTGCAGAAGAGAGGCGATGTGGCTGCAGCGCGTGATCTACCCACCGAACACCGCACAGGCCACGCACGAACAGCGTCTGCTGCTGTACTGCGTCCAGGACGTGTGCGCTACAGACCCAGAAGACAGAGCAGAGGTGGCCCGCAGCTATGGGGATCGGGACCCTAACCTCAACAACAAACCCATCATCTGCAACGGCCCCTTGCTGTGCAACGTCATCTGCTCTACCCAGCTCATCCAGGATTGGGGCGACTGCGTGAACCGCTGCGAAGGCCATCGATCCATGTTGCTCCCCGTGGTCTCGCGCTATTGCAAGAAGGGGCTCTGCCCCACACTTCTGGAGGAGGTGGAGACCGTCGGCCTCCTGCAGCGCCGATCCAACCACTCACACAGCACCCTTGTCACCAGCTCCCGCCGGTACTCCGACGGCAGGAGGCGCCGGCACATGCGGCACAGGTGTCAAAACGAAGAGATGGATAAGTTATAAGGATCCATGCGAGCATTGTGTTTGCAAATGGGGGTCTGCGCCCCCCAATTTTCTCGCTGTTTTTGCCGTGCCACCTCCAGCATTTATATATATATATATGTGTATATATATATATATGTAAGAGGAACCTCTATGTACTATTTGACATGGCTGCTTTCTGTATTAAAAGTCTTAATAGTTGTAATAGTTTGAATTTTTAAAAAGCCTCCGAAACTATTAAAACTATTAAAAAGAAGCATTTTTAATAGTTTTAATAGTTTTAATAGTTTCAACTTTTAAAAAGCCTTCCGAACTATTAAAACTTTAAAAAGAGAAGGCCTGGCCAGGAGATTCCTGAACTTTTAAAACTATTAAAACTTTTAAAACTATTAAAACTATTAAAACTATTAAAAAATTTTAAAAAGGCTTCCTTTTAATAGTTTTAATAGTTTTAATAGTTTGAACTTTTAAAAAGCCTCCCAAACTATTAAAACTATTAAAAATAAGCCTTTTTAGTAGTTTTAATAGTTTTAATAGTTTTAATAGTTTTAAAAGTTTTAAAAGTTCAGGAATCTCCAGGCCAGGCCTTCTCCTTTTTAAAGTTTTAATAGTTTTAATAGTTTCAACTTTTAAAAAGCCTCCCGAACTATTAAAACTATTAAAAAGAAGCATTTTTAATGGTTTTAATAGTTTCAACTTTTAAAAAGCCTCCCAAACTATTCAAAATTTAAAAAAGAGAAGGCCTGGCCAGGAGATTCCTGAACTTTTAAAACTATTAAAACTTTTAAAACTATTAAAACGATTAAAACTATTAAAACTTTTAAAAAGGCTTCTTTTTAATAGTTTTAATAGTTTTAATAGTTTGAACTTTTAAAAAGCCTCCCAAACTATTAAAACTATTAAAAAGAAGCCTTTTTAATAGTTTTAATAGTTTTAATAGTTTTAATTGTTTTAAAAGTTTTAAAAGTTCAGGAATCTCCAGGCCAGGCCTTCTCCTTTTTAAAGTTTCAATAGTTTTAATAGTTTGAACTTTCAAAAAGCCGCCCAAACTATTAAAACTATTAAAAAGAAGCATTTTTAATAGTTTTAATAGTTTTAATAGTTTTAAAAGTTTTAAAAGTTCAGGAATCTCCAGGCCAGGCCTTCTCCTTTTTAAAGTTTTAATAGTTTTAATAGTTTAAACTTTTAAAAAGCCTCCCAAACTATTAAAACTATTAAAAGAAGCCTTTTTAATAGTTTTAATAGTTTTAATAGTTTTAGTAGTTTTAATAGTTTTAATAGTCTTAATAGTTTTAATAGTTTTAATAGTTTTAATAGTTTTAATAGTTTTAATAGTTTTAATAGTTTCAACTTTAAAAAAGCCTTTCAAACTATTAAAACATTAAAAAGAGAAGGCCTGACCAGGAGATTCCTGAACTTTTAAAACTATTAAAACTTTTAAAACTATTAAGACTATTAAAACTATTAAAACTATTAAAACTTTTAAAAAGGCTTCCTTTCAATAGTTTTAATAGTTTTAATAGTTTGAACTTTTAAAAAGCCTCCCAAACTATTAAAACTATTAAAAAGAAGCCTTTTTAATAGTTTTAATAGTTTTAATAGTTTTAATAGTTTTAATAGTTTTAATAGTTTTAATAGTTTTAAAGGTTTTAAAAGTTCAGGAATCTCCAGGCCAGGCCTTCTCCTTTTTAAAGTTTTAATAGTTTTAATAGTTTGAACTTTTAAAAAGCCTCCCAAACTATCAAAAATTTAAAAAGAAGCCTTTTTAATAGTTTTAGTAGTTTTAATAGTTTCAACTTTTAAAAAGCCTTCCAAACTATTAAAACTTTGAAAAAGGGAAGGCCTGGCCAGGAGATTCCTGAACTTTTAAAACTATTAAAACTTTTAAAACTTTTAAAACTATTAAAACTTTTAAAAAGGCTGCCTTTTAATAGTTTTAATAGTTTTAATAATTTAAACTTTTAAAAAGCCTCCCAAACTATTAAAACCATTAAAAGGAAGCCTTTTTAATAGTTTTAATAGTTTTAATAGTTTTAATAGTTTTAAAAGTTTAAATAGTTTTAAAAGTTTTAAAAGTTCAGGAATCTCCAGGCCAGGCCTTCTCCTTTTTAAAGTTTTAATAGTTTTAATAGTTTGAACTTTTAAAAAGCCTCCCAAACTATTGAAACTATTAAAAAGAAGCAATTTTAATAGTTTTAATAGTTTTAATAGTTTTAAAAGTTTCAAAAGTTCAGGAATCTCCAGGCCAGGCCTTCTCCTTTTTAAAGTTTTAATAGTTTTAATAGTTTCAACTTTTAAAAAGCCTCCCAAACTATTAAAACTATTAAAAAGAAGCCTTTTTAATAGTTTTAATAGTTTTAATAGTTTCAACTTTAAAAAAGCCTTTCAAACTATTAAAACATTAAAAAGATTTAAAAGTTCAGGAATCTCCAGGCCAGGCCTTCTCCATTGTAAAGTTTTAATAGTTTTAATAGTTTGAACTTTTAAAAAGCCTCCCAAACTATTAAAACTATTAAAAGGAAGCCTTTTTAATAGTTTTAATAGTTTTAATAGTTTTAAAAGTTTTAAAAGTTTTAAAAGTTCAGGAATCTCCAGGCCAGGCCTTCTCCTTTTTAAAGTTTTAATAGCTTTAATAGTTTGAACTTTTAAAAAGCCGCCGAAACTATTAAAACTATTGAAAAGAAGCATTTTTAATAGTTTTAATAGTTTTTAATAGTTTTAGTAGTTTTAAAAGTTTTAAAAGTTCAGGAATCTCCAGGCCAGGCCTTCTCCTTTTTAAAGTTTCAATAGTTTTAATAGTTTCAACTTTTAAAAAGCCTCCCAAACTATTAAAACTATTAAAAAGAAGCCTTTTTAATAGTTTTAATAGTTTTAATAGTTTCAACTTTAAAAAAGCCTTTCAAACTATTAAAACATTAAAAAGATTTAAAAGTTCAGGAATTTCCTGGACAGGGCCCCGGGCCTCCAATACAAAACCACGAGCCCGGGCCTCCCCCCAATACTAAATTACGAGCCCGGGCTTCTCCCCAATACTAAATTACGAGCCCGGGCCTTCTCCCAATACTAAATTACGAGCCCGGGCCTTCTCCCAATACTAAATCACGAGCCCGGGCCTTCTCCCAATACTAAATCACGAGCCCGGGCCTCCCCCCAATACTAAATCCGGGCCTCCCCCCAATACTACATCACGAGCCCGGGCCTTCTCCCAATACTAAATCACGAGTCCGAGCCTTTCCGGAAGCGGGCCAGCCCCCCCTCCATTTCCATTTAAATTATTTTCATTTTATGTAAATTATAAGAACTATGTAAATTATATAAATTAGGGTCGCGTCACTTTGGTCAGATTTTGCCGGGCCCCGCGTAGATCCAGGCAGATTTTGTCCATGGCGATTTCTCCAAAAACACAACGGACAAAATCTGCCTGGATCTACGCATCACTTTTTTTGTAAGAAACAGCGCCGCGTAGATCCGGGCAGATTTTGTCCATGGTGTTTTCTCAAAAAACACGAAGGACAAAATTTGGCCAAATCGGGCTGCTCTTCGTCGGAGATGAGAAATGCGCGGCTCGATTTGGCCAAATTTTGCCGGGCAGCCTCCGGGCAAAATTTGGCCAAATCGGGCTGCTCTTCGTGTGCGATGAGAAATGCGCGGCTCGATTTGGCCAAATTTTGCCGGGCAGCCTCCGGGCAAAATTTGGCCAAATCGGGCTGCTCTTCGTGAGCGATGAGAAATGCGCGGCTCGATTTGGCCAAATTTTGCCGGGCAGCCTCCAGGCAAAATTTGGCCAAATCGGGCTGCTCTTCGTATGCGATGAGAAATGCACGGCTCGATTTGGCCAAATTTTGCCGGGCAGCCTCCGGGCAAAATTTGGCCAAATCGGGCTGCTCTTCGTGTGCGATGAGAGATGCGCGGCTCGATTTGGCCAAATTTTGCCGGGCAGCCTCCGGGCAAAATCTGGCCAAATCGGGCTGCTCTTCGTATGCGATGAGAAATGCACGGCTCGATTTGGCCAAATTTTGCCGGGCAGCCTCCGGGCAAAATTTGGCCAAATCGGGCTGCTCTTCGTATGCGATGAGAGATGCGCGGCTCGATTTGGCCAAATTTTGCCGGGCAGCCTCCGGGCAAAATTTGGCCAAATCGGGCTGCTCTTCGTGTGCGATGAGAAATGCGCGGCTCGATTTGGCCAAATTTTGCCGGGCAGCCTTTCGAGAAGAAAAAGGGAAGGGAGAGATAAGGGAGAGGATCGATAAAGAAGATGCCTTGTTTTGTCTTTCCTTATCCTTTTTTCATCTCTCTTCCATTGTTGTCTTTGCTCTTCCCATTAAAAATGCAATCCTGTCTATTTCTCCTCCTCCTTCTCTCTCCGTCCTCTTCAACGACAAAAAACACAAGGAAAACATAAGAGGGGAATGGAGGCCCTTGTCCTTTCTTATTTTCAATGGTTGGGGACATGAACGGGGTTGGCTGCTTGCCCGTGGCCCCTCTCCATGCTCCCTCCTCTTGTGCCCAAACGGAAAAGAAAGCGAGTTCCTTTCATGTTCATTGTTATTCCTTTGGTTTTTTTGTTTCAAAGGGAAACGAACAAGAGAGAAGAAAGACAAGAAGGATAGGAAAGATGAAGACGAATACCATCTTCTCTTTGCCATGGGCAAAACCCGAGCCCTAGCTTCCAAATACACCCTATTTGAGCCACCCACCCCCCTCCCCCGTTCTCCCCCCTCTCCTTTATAGGAAACGAAAACTGGACACGAACGATGTCCTCTATCTTTTAATGCAGCAGGAGAGAGGTCCTCTCTCTCCTAATGGGACATGAAAGTCCTCCTGTATTCGTTTTCATTGAAAGATCTGTCTCTCGAGGAAATGGAAGATCTACTCTATCTCTTTCTAGTAAACACTTCTTCAAGTAGGAGAAAGGCTTTTTCATAAGTTGTAAAAAAGGAGCTCTGTCATTCCTAAAAGAGAAGGAGAGAGGGGAGCCCTTGGAGGACCCCTTTTCAGAAGAGGCAAGGGCATTCATTACC